CTTGAGTGGGTGTTGGTCAGTAGGCACTGCTGCCCTGTTTCAAGATGTATAATGCCCTACTGACATCGTCTTTTACACTACATAATAGAATTACATTATATAGATCATTATAGTGGCCCTGGGCATGGCCTTAAAGGAGCCTTGTTATGTTGTAAAGTGTGAAGTAAACTGATGTGTGTTGTATGGCTCAACTAACAGGACTTACATGGGCCAGTCGGCACCATCTGCCTGCACCTTGTAGTCACGTGATTTGGACACTGCGTGCATGTGTTGCCTCAGGGGTTGACTGCTACGACTGTACCTCCAGAGGCAATGCTGTGTAGCTTAGTCGAGGTTCTCAAGGCTACAGGGGGAGCCTTGAGGCTCATTGTCATGAGGGTGGTGGCATCTTTCAGCTGCGAGAGCTCGAAGCCCTGTCAGTACATGGTAGAGCACCCGTGTATTGCTATCATTGTTGTTAGAGTCTCTTCACAGCTATCAGAGACCTCAATACTTTTTACCGTAAAATTTAGTCCTATTAGAAAAGCCTACAAGTGATTACTGGATATATTATAGCTAAAGCTTTATAATCTATACGTTTCTACTCTTTTTTCTTCAGCATCAGCTTCAGCATCATACCTACCGGTACACTGTATTGCACTGCATTACTATTGAAGCTCAAGTACACAGTACACAGTACACAACACGCCCCTGGCCCGAGGTCAGCAGCCGGCCAACTTCAATGATCTATAGGAGACGATGGCGATGGCGATGGCGATGGCGATGGCGATGGCGATACTGATGATGAATGAAGTAGTAGCCGGGTAGGCAAATAGGCAGGTAGCTTGCTGCGTTGACAAATGGATCGACTTTGCGAATTGATTGATGGGGGGGTTGATGGTCGGTGGGTGATGGTGGACAATTAATGCTTGCCCATCCGTAGCGGCACATTCTCGGCGAGGCACATCGGCGGTCGATGCGTAGCCCATACTAAGCCTAGCCCAGCATCTACCAAAGCTATCATATCGGTTCCCGTCGTGGAGAAGAATCGCACGGCGCTGGCAAAAACAGATGCGACAGCCTGGATTCTAGATGGATGTAGGCCTAGGCTAGCAGCAGATCAAGGCTTGCTCCGCAAGTACAAGTACGTACTTTGCTTTGAGCACTTGGCACAGACTGTCGTCGTTCTGCTTTGACTGCATCACCGCCGTGTTCAGCAGCGATGCAGGCCACTCCGCTCTCCTTTTCGGTCTGGTCTGATCTGCCAGATGAAGCATTCTTTCATGAAGCCTTCAGTGTGTCCCAGTCACAATCGTCATCCAACTCAGGCAGGCTTCTTGACACCTAGAGTAGACTAGACTAGATTAGACCACAGTCATAATTGTAGAACTTTCCTTTGTCACGCATAAGGTAGATGGGGCTTTGACGATGGATGAACTGGTTGGCCTTCTCGAGATGTTCTCTTCCAACAAGCGCCAAATGCAATAGCTTTCGTTTTGCAGGTTGGATGATTTTGATGTAACTGTACCTTCACAGCACGTACTGTAGGTACTCCCGTTTACTCCGATAGGGCTGTAGGGCTGTAGGCACCCCGGGCCTAGCCCTACAGCCCTACATAGGTAACCCCACAGGGATGCAGCATCCACTGGCCCCGCCCCTAGGGACACACTTGCCGCATTCGCAGCCGCAGCCGCAGCCGCAGTCGCAGCGCTTGACCTCTACTCGAATTCAGACCCAAATACCGCGTCCCTCCTTCTCTCTGGCTTTCTCAATCTTTTCCACTTATCCTCTTGCCTGCGGCTTCTCTCCTTGACTTGTTGCGGTAGGCTCGCGGTGGTTGATCATGGGCATCTCCAGCGCTTCGGCGCACAAGGGCGACCGCCTTGTCATCCGCAATGATGTTGCTGCTGAGCAGAGCATCTCGCCGCACTCAACAACCGGGAGAGCCATGGACTACAACAAGGCCGAAGAAGAACTCGAGGGCAGCAGTCAAACAAACCGCTCCCAACAATTTTGGCCTCCCTCCTCTGAGGTGCAGCGTTGCTCGGTAAGCTACCATTTCACACAAGGGTCGTTGATGGCCACCCTGAAGCTCAGCTCGACCTCGACCTCGACCTCTACCTCGGCCTTGAGCCCGACCGCGACTTCGATCTCAAGATCGAATCCCCAGACAATCAGCTTCACAACCTAAGCACGGCATTAGATACGCTCTGTGCTGCCAGCGAGTCGCTCAAGATCGAATACGACTATAGGCCGTCCAAGCAGCTGCTTAGCATCAATATTTCCATGGCCAAGCGCGAGCACAGCCACATTATTGGCAGCATCGGCGAGCAGATCACCACCGGCCGCTCCAGGGCTCGCGCCATCCTCGCTGAGAATCCAGAAACTCGCGAGCAGCTAGCCGCCATCATCGCCCTCGTGCGCCCGGCCTCCGACGTCCAAGTCCGCCCCTCCTCACTCGACTAGTGCAAGTATCCGGACCTAAGCTATACATAAACCTCAAGATACCAACTACATTCATTGTGGAAGCTGCAGTCACCCAAACGTGCCAGGATCTCGAGAGCAAGGCTTGCGGCTACTTCGCCAACACTCGGCGCGTCCAGACTATCCTGCTCATTGATACCTCGGACCGAAGCCTTGAATGGGGCGATGGAAAAATCATATCTCACGGTCCAAGCCCAGCGGGCGTCGCGGGCGTCGATCAAGCCGTTGACGCAATGTCTTGGACGCGCTTCTTTGGTCCCAATGCCCGTCAAGATGGAGAGATCGCCGTCTACCTCTCAGATCTTGTCTGCCCCGGCACGCCTCTGCCCGCCGCCTACAGGCGACCCTCCTTGGCTCAGCACGTTGGCAATCGGTAAGTTTCCCCCGCTCTCCCATTCACTTATCCATTTACATTTCCATTTCCTTCTTTTCCAACCCTGCCCTCTCCCCTACAAGACACCTCCTCGCCCGGTCCCTTCTCCTCTTACTCTCGTATTGAATCCTACTCTGACTCCGATGTATGCTGACAACGTCACCGCCAATCGCTACAGACATGCCATATTCACCAGCCCGTTCTACACTCTGGCGCTGCAATTTAACGATTCTTCGTTGTAAGCGCGATCGAAGTTTGCAAGGGAGAGAGGACGGCTGGCGGAACGGAGTAGGGGGCAAAAGGGGGGCTGCATGAGTTGGAGTTCAAAGCCATAATCTCGGCATCAGCATCAGCGGTGGAGTTCAGGCTCTGGAAGGCAGGCGAGAAGATGGGAATGCAAGAATACAGGTCTTTCTTTATCTCTTCCTTCCTTCCTTCCTTCCCCTTTTCTCGTTTGCGTCTCAACATATCCAGGTCGCTGTCGGACAGACGTAAACAGTCTACGACGGTGATGCCATGTTTTGTATTTGAGAGATTAGTCAATTAAGATGTTTGTTTGCCATATCTAATTCTATTCAAAGACATATGTTTTGCTGTGAGTCTTTCGGTGTGTCGAGATTTTGGATGTCCAGAGGAATCAGGGAGAGCAGAAAGTCGCTAGATGCTAGTCCGAGCCGCACCGAGGAGGCGGGACGAGACGAGACGAGATTTGAGATTCAATATGCATACGACATGACCACGATCAACCAAACACATAGGAAATGGAGTGGAACGATGTCAGTGTAAAGGGGAACTATCTAAAGACGGTTGATCCGGCTCCGGCCAGGCTGAGACAGTCATCCCATTGCTACATATTCATATCACGGATTGAGGTGTGGTGCTAGTACCTAGGTAGTGCTACTACTCGAGGCAAGCTCACCTACACCTCACCAGTGACGGCTATTAAAATAGGGTAGTAGTGTATACTGCTGACCAACACACACTCGAGATACTACATAGCATATACAAAAGAAGCCACTGGTGCCATAATATGGGGCAAAAAGTGAAGTGAATTCGTGACTGTCAAGTCGTAGGTAGTAATCTTGATAGCTAAGCTAAGTATGAAGGGTCTCCTAGAAAAAGAAAATGCAAAGTAATACCTAAGGAACTTGGTATAGACCTTGCGGCCTCACCTCACCACCATCCAATGACGACGGTGTCATCGTGGAAACAAACGGGTTGAGTTGGACGAAGTCCCAGCCCGGCCGACCCGTTGAAAGGAAACAACTGGCATGACATGCCGTGTCGATCCTCCTCGTAACAGATGAATGCCTATCCGAGGTATGTTTGCCAGTCTGCTTGTAGTATATACGCTAAAGATCGCATCTTCCAGCATACCGCTGCAGCACCTCATCTCATTGCATCCCGTTGTCCTCACGACACATCACCATCATATCCCGGTATAATAGTATTGGCCCACGTATCTCAACTCCGCCGCTTGGTTTTGGCTCCTGGCGCCGATGTTACCTGTAGGCAGCGACGCCCATTTTATCGATCTCACCAGTGACTCCTTCCGCGCTGCCACCGCACTGTGAGCGTGCGCCGCGACCAATCTTGAAAACACAGGAACTCCTCTCCGAGCCCCTGAGAGCGCACTGCGCCTTCCGCCAAGAAAGCAAGCAAGCAAGCAAGCGAAACGAAGCAGGCCGAGACCCCATGACGTACAGGAGAGAGACGATGGCGAAAACGAGAAACGCCAGAGACCCGTCGCCGCCCTCCTCACCGGCAGGCTGTCTCCTGCTTTCTCAGCCATGTCGCAAATGGACCGAGGCGCTCCCTGTTCTCGTGCTGGGCTCTGTTTCTCATAGAGATCTCCGAGCGTATTATCGCGACGGCGCAGATCCTCGGAACGGTGTTGGTGCATGGCTCCGACGCATGACAAGAGTGTGTGCATGGTGTCTTGAAGCGCATCAGGCCCCGGCTCCATGCTGAGACTGCGATCCGTACCTACATCCGTGTCTGTCTCTCGTGCGTCATCTTTGCAGTGTTCATCCACCAAATTTATGGTGGCTTCTGTGCCCAGGTCGTCATTTCTCGCCTGCTGCCAAATGTTGCTGGGCCGTCAAGTCCATGCCGATAGCAGCCGGGCAGGAAGGAAGGGGAAGGAGATCATGCAGTCGCTTCCCGTCATTCAGCCCCGAGACCGCGTGGAAACGCTGAACGAGCAGGCCACCGACCTAATCCTCTAGTAGATGGCGACTCTTTTGTCTCGAAACCTCGCCAACATCAGCGGCGCCAGCCGGTCTTCAGGTTCCCTTGGATGCTGAAATGTGTTGCAAGTCATTGGGCGAAATACGCGAAGGTGATGTATTGAAGCTAAACTGAAGAGAGATTGATCTCCATAAGCTAAGCAAGGCTATGTAAGAGTCGTTTGCTATGATGACTAGTCCACCTGCTAACAACGCAAGACGCGCCTCTGACTGCATTCGGAGCACGGCAGGCCACTGTCCAAGCCATCTGTCAATGCTGGCCACCATTCCAGCGACGTTTGGTATATGACGACTTGAACCAGGGGGCAGGTTCGTCTGCGGCGAAAGACTTGCAGTCCTCAATCCTTCACGATCAAATGATGTCGCGTTTTCAATCGGCTTGCGAACTGCGCAGTGTATCATCTAACAGATGTTGTATTTCGCCAAGAACTCCCTCCAGGGCGTGTTGAATGGGGATGTACGAGGAAGCCATCATCTGCTGCATCGTGGAGACGAGATGTGCGCAGTCCTCGATCTTGAATAGAACAGTGTACGGCAAGGAGAGTCCGCGTAACGTCGTGCCTTCTGGAAAGAGTCCGCGGTCTGCATGTCATGTTAGCTACTTGAGTGGTGAGTCTGCCATGAACTGCAGCCGGTGGTGAGGTTCCTGTTGGACCTACGCATGCCATTGAAATCAAACGCTCTGTCTAGAGTAGGGGGGCTTCCCTGGTCGTCGAATTTAGGATCGTCTGTACGTAAGTCCTGTGTGATGTCCTGAATAATCTTGTCGTAGACATCGGAGGCATATTGATGAAATGAGAAAAGCTCCTCGACCTCCCATGGTTCCAGTCCGTGGAAGAAAGTTTGCACGGTCTCATCCGGTCTACCACAAGATGACCAGATAGAGCGAGTTCCAGAGCCAGCGAGGTGACAGAGCAGCTAGAAGCGATTTAACGTCCGCATCAGGCGCATCGTCTCCATAGCGGTCAGTGCAGCCTCCTGTAGGAGAATTCGGGGCTTCTTTCAGGGCTCTTTGGCTCTCCAAGGTTTGCCAGCATCCAATCTGCATAATGATCTGTGAGGGGCATTATGTACTGAAAAAAACTAGCTGGCTATGCTAACAGCTCGCCATGCCAGCATATCGGAGAGCAGTAGCACGCGACGGCGGGTGTCCTGCACGTAGGACTCCAACAACTCCGTTACATCTTGTTTTACGTCTCCTTTCGGAATAACAGACAGAAGGACAGCATAAGCATCGACGGTGACGCTGCCCAGCGTCCGCTCGAGACAGTTACAGAGGATATACCTGCGGTCGTGGATGTACGTGGAAGGCCCAAAGATGAAAGCAGGCAACGTCGGAATTCAGGTGGCAGGCTATCAAGCCCATGTTTCCTTGGCATGAATCCTGAATCAGACGAGGTTTTGGCGGTCGTCGCCGTGGCATGTGGCATCTGTCTTGAACCTTTGGCAGATGCCGTATATCTCTTGACTTTTGCGACTAAGCGATTCAGGGATGTTTTTTTGTCGCTTGTCTCGCGCAATGAAATTCGATAGATGAAGAGCATTGAACAGGATAATTGCCCAGTCGCATGCCCAAAATGTCAAAAGGAAGAGGAGGGCGGTAGTCCATAAGGTAACGAAATACAGCACCCCCTAGCCTTGATCGGCTCTAGGGCATTATTAGTGGCGTCTAATGATTGGCCAAAGCGTTGTCTATTGATTGGTAGGAAAACTCCCAGTGTAGCTTATTTCCACCTGCAGAGAGGGAGTTCTGATGTTCGGGACAGTTCTGCTTCTATGTCAAGTGGCAAGCTATCTATGGAGATTGGCTGCTTGCTCCGCCCGGCCAAGGTTTCGGGTGTTTTTGCACCTTGACATGGCTCTTAATATTTCGCCGACTGAAAAGAATCGGCCCATAACTACTAGCAACAATCATTACTACATTCGCTTCTCTCTGAGTCTCTCGAATTTGACAGCCCAGACACCCTATCTTTCGATTCCCAGTGCCTAAGACGTGATAGCCACAGCCTACTCTCTGAGCCAGACACGGTGAAGCACGACAAGTGTGCAAGGCCCAGTTGGCGGGCGGCTCTACTGAGAAGGGCAGGATGAATCTTCAGAAGACCGACCAGAACGGCAAGCTGGGAGTCGACATCCTTCTCAACTCAAAGTACGCTTGGCGACTCTGATGGCTTTGTCCCTTTTATGAATTGCATCAGCATGAGCTCCCTCGGAGACTTCTCCTCGACTCCCTTTTTCTAGCAACTAGCGGAGGCAATACACACCCAGGCGAGTCGCAGCATTTAGCGAGATCAGCTCGTCAATCATCCCAGTGGGTTTTCCCTTCAAAATCCTTGCGATGGTACCGCATGCAGGATCGCAAGATTCTGGCCTTCTTTGTTTTTTTTCTCTTTTTTTTCAGTGGTCGGAATCCGACATTTTAGTGCTAATCCAGATGCAGTCATGCCGCCCAATAGTTGACAAAGACTGGAGGATGGTGGAGGTTCTGTCTGCGCGCCGAATGAATGTAGCAGAGCCATCAGCCGATTCACCTAAAATAGAACCCATGCGTGAGCGACAAGATTGCGGCTGTTGATGGGAAATGGGCGGCGCATTTGGCTGGCTAGAATAAATGACTTGTCCATCAAGTCATTGGTACACTACAGCGAGCTGGTCTACTCTGGTCTCGGATCTGTCCATCTGCGCTTTTGACGCGTCAGATCGGCCAATCTAGACAACTCTACCGTTCCGTAATTTGCCTTTTCAGCGGCTGGTCGTGTCTTTTCTGGGGCGTGTTTGAGTTCTTTGTGCTGGAAAATTACTGAAGACATTCTATTTTCATTAGTGCCCCGGGAGCTTGCACTGGACGTGGGTTTGGGAATGAAAGAGAAGATCCGAAGAGAGAAAGCGAAAAACATCCATACAAAGGCAATTCATTCGAGGATGAACCAAAGCAGATCTCCTGTTGCTTTCATGACTCGAAATCTTGAAGCTTTGGATAATAGGATAGGCAAACGCTGAGCAGCGTGGAGGCCAGAGGAACGATGGACACCGGCCGGTTGGGGAAGACAATAAAGAAAAAACTAGAGGAGCAGAAGGCCCGTGCCAGAACATCAAAAAGGCGCAAAGGGGTAGACACGGAGGGTAGAATTGCTGCAGCAAGATTATATATACAAAGTCCAACAAAGTTCCCAAGATCTCCCTCCAAGTCCATGCCCACCTCTATCCTCAGTCTTAGAATCAAGAGTACTTGCAGCTTTTCCCTCACATCTCTTTCGCTACCACAACTACAATGGATCATCCCCGCGCGCCGGAACGTTGTGTCGATAGTTATACCGTGTTGCCGGACGGGAAAGCATGGTGGTATGGCGATGAATTCCGAGGCGAATTTCCTGAAGCGGAATACCGCACGGAACCGCGTTTCCGTGCAAGAGACCACTGTGTACATCTTGCGCCCCACGATGTTTGGGGAAACTCCAGAAAGGTCAGCATGTGGCCGCTTCTCCCAGAGAAGGCATCCGACCTCGTGCCACTCCCACCAATCGACGGCCCTAAGCTCAAGCCTTTCGACTTTGGAAACGATGACAACATCGAGTTCCTCAGTGTTCTTGGACGCGGATTATCTGGCATAGTGTTCAAAGCCCGTATCGGAGTCCGCATCTATGCCTTGAAGTTGGTGAGCCACCACTGTACATCCCTGAACCCCTGACCGGCCCCGGTTCAGCCTAGTTAGCTAATGCGATCCTCATATGCAGTTCATGTTCCAAGGCTTCCCAACCTACGACCGTGCCCTGGAATATTTTGATCATTCCCCTGACATCGCGTACAATTGGCTATGGCAGGAGGAATGTTTCAGTCGCGAGTGTCGCGCCTATGGTAGACTCCAGGAGGCCGGCCGTGAGCACCTGGCAGTCAAGTGCCATGGATACTTCTTGCTAAAGAAGGAATACGAGATTATCCTGGAGCAGAAGTTCGGACTAGGACCTGGTACCTGGGGATGGTGCTTCGATAATGATGGAGGTCCCTACGAGGAAGACTTAGCGAGCCGGCGCGACTGCGCCGAGGCTGACGGGAACTGGCGCCCAATCCGAGTTATCGTGAAGGAATTCATTGACGGCGACGAGGGGATTGAGCCTGCTTATGTGAAGAAAATGGCTCAAAACTTGCTCGATCTTCATGCATTGGGCGTTATCCAAAATGACATCAAAGAAGACGCTTACATTGACGGCGTCCTTGTCGATTTCAGCGAGGCATACACTACCCCTCATCCTCGATTGAACGCAGAGCTGTCGCATATCTATAGTGAGCAAAACGCCTTCGATCTGTGTGACGCGGATACGGATAAATTTTGGGACATGATGCACAGGTGGAATGATAAGAACGGAGAAACTCGAGGCATGCTATGTAATCGAGACTTGGGCAAGGGTTACTACGGACATGGTATGACGCTGAGATGTCACAAAGAACCTGGCCGAAGGAAGTATGGAATACCTGCAGATCCAAGGCGGTATAACTGGAGAAGTGGTTCAAAGAAGCGGATCCGAAGGCATGCTTGGATGTTCCGCGACAACAAGTTCCGCCTCAACTATAAATTACCCCCGAAATCTCATCCGCCCTTGCCATGGGAGTGACATCAACAGTTTTGCTTGTCGTGGTCAGAGTTAGCTCAAAGTAGCTTGTTTGTGTGTTCATTTGTCGTTTCTTTTTCTTCTATAGAGTTTATCCTATGTTATTTTAGTTCAAGACAACCCAATTATCACTGCTTGCTTGCTTTTCTTAACAAACTGTTCTGACATGAGGGGATCATCATGAGTACCGAGGCAGCCTGGAGTGTAATCTACTCCTGAGGATCAATTTGGAAGTGATATTCTGACACTTCTTTGGAAGGCTCGCCAAGCGGTGTAGGGCTATAAGGGTTCCAGGGCTGAGTTTCTCCATGACATGAAGTTTTCTCAAGCCATGGTTCTGAATTTGCATGTGAGCTTTATTGTGTGTAGCAATTGCGACTTCTGTCTCAGCAAGTGTCTTCACAATGATCTTACAAAGTAGCATAGGACAGAGTAAAAAAGCACATATAAGAAATCTAATAATGATCAGTCCGCTACTCCACAGGCTTCTTTATTTGCTTAAATTTTCATTGAAAAACTACGATATCTGTAACTATGTTGGGGATTGGAGGACTGGGTACGATGGAAAGGAGGCATATTGTGATAGTAAACCCAATGCAAGATGTAAGACGAGGGGAAGCCATAAACAAAGCGAGTGACCAAGAGGAGTTCAATGCAAGCGACAGGGAAACCATGAATAAAGCGAGTGACTAAGAGAAGGAGTTCAACGCAAGCGACAGGGGAGGCAACTGAAACCAAAGCAAATATCCTCCGATGATCAAAGAATCAGAATGGTAAGGTTCTCAATTCCGATGCCAACTCCGAAACTTGAGCCTGTAGGGACTCCGGTTGAGGATCCGCCGCCAGTCGTGACGCCTCCAGGCAACGACTCTTCCCGTCGAGGCACAATTGCCCGATCACCTCTGTCCAGGGCCATCATCGTAATCCACCATCTTCCAAGGTCTGCTGTCAAGAAGCTTTCTCCGCAGCTTGCAGTAGGCACGCTCATGACCTCCACGTTGAACGTCGCAATTGGTTTCTCTTTTTTTTTCTCTTTTGTTTGCTCTTGGGGACGTAGCTCAACCCAAGAAAAGCGACAGAAGACGACGTCCCTCTTGAGCTCCAGATATCCATACCGAGTATTTCGGAGATAGCACAAGGTCGCCAGCTTCCTCAGAGGAGCTGAGATGACCGAAGTGATGCGAGGATTGAGGAAATCCCTGGGGTAGATTGCCAGGTTTGGGCTGATGACACCTTCAATAAGGTATGAAGATGAGAGCGGGTGCACGTAGATTTCGTGTTGTGGTTTAATCTGGGCATGAGGAGGTTCGGGCCGATCGGGGAATCTGATCACAGGGCTGCAAGATTCTTGTCCCACACGGTGCCCGTGCCGATGCATGCTCGCAATGTCGAGGGGCACTTGCAGTATGTTGACATTTCGGTCTGCAAGGTACATGAACTGGTTTACAGAAGTAATGGCATCGATCGCAAGAGCTGGATTTTCCATTGTCCCAGGACCCATAGGCATTTCTAGAACATCACCATAGGCATTGTTCAGATTGTCGAGGGTGAACTCAGCCCATTCGACTACCTGCTTGATTGCGACCCATTGATCATTAGGGTGTAAAGGACGAGCAAAATCGCATAGAGGTGGCGGCCGCTGCCCGGTCAGCCAGGTTCGCAACGTGTGGTAGGAGACACTACTATTCGCATTGCTGGATGGGTTGTAACCGGGAGGGCGTGGCCGGCGATCGAGAACTCGTTGAGCTGGGATGAGGGAAAGATTGATCAAAGATCTGGTGCAACAGAAAGTCAGCAATGTGTGGTACAGATGGATGTTAAGGACCGAGGAATTTTATCCAGGAGGCTTTCGTGATTTACACAGAGAGCCGGACTTTCGTACCTGTCCATCGTTGCGAAGGTCGATTGTCGAGGGGGCTGAGAAAGCTCGAATCTTGTAACGAAGTGTGTAGACTCAAAAACGTAAGTGAAGAGAGAGAGAGCAAATGAGCAGTAATGGAATGAGTGCTTTGAGAAAAACAGACACCAGACTTTCGAGCTTCGCGTGATCGTTTGCGGTTGACCAGAAGGTAGAAGCGGTAGACAGGAATGACTTTAAATACACGACCGATTTTGCAACGGCCTCCTCGCGTCGCCTGTCTGTATCGGAAGAGATTCCAGTGCCATCATCGCCCAGGCATCATTGAAACGCCGTCACTGACTGTTGAACAAAGAGTCTTTGAGGAGAGAAATGATTCTCCTGAATATCATCGCAGGACAGGCCATCAAAACGCCGACCGTGTCCACCAAACCTGTGGCCAAAGGGCAGCGACTGGTGTCCCAGGGGCTTTTGGTCTCGGAGATGCCGGACGGACTCCAACGTCTTTGAGCCTTCGTTGCCACGATTGCGGCAGAGTGGTGAAGCATCTGGCGGTCAGAAGAACATGGCTGCGGCCAGAACGCAGCCCTGACTGCAGCTAGACTAGGGTGGGAGACCTTTTCTTTAGAGTGTTGCAGGTGGCTGTTCCAGCTTTGGCGCAGCCTGAAGCCATTCCCTCTTGGGCCTGAAGAAGGGGGAGACAAACTCCCTGGAAGGTGTTCCTATTAGAGGGCCGGGCCCCATCTGCTTAAGTGACGTGTTCTTGGGCTACGGCATGAGAAAACATGAAAGTGATAAGTTCTTTTTCCAAAAGTTGGTGCAGCTCAGCTGTGCTAATCTTGGCCTAATCCCGCCAAGTAGAGTTCCTAAAAGTGACTGTTACATGGGAGAAATGACGGGCGTCCCGGCAATCCCATTGGGTGGGTACCATACCCGTACGCCATGAATAGTGGGGAAATGAAGTGCTCCTGATCTGGGCCTGAGGCAGATGCCGGCTGACCCTACACTCAGGTTAAAGCAGCATCAGCTCAGGTCAATGTATGATAAAGGCATTTGCTCAGGGCAACTTTCGGGAAACGTATATGTCTGTTGTGAATGTCATAATGCTTATACGCCGTGGGCCATTTTCAAGGCTACACATACATCCTGAACATACATTTGTGGCTTCTTTAAAGGTGTCATGTGCATGAACGGGTGAGGAACTCCCCTCAGTATGGTCAGTGCACCCTGACTAACGAGCTTTTGTACGTACTGCTCCGACTCATCCCGGATTGGATCACAGCCTGCAGACAGGATCGTAGTCGGACACACGCTACGTACATCACTGTCAATAGGATTTCGAACGATATGCGGTACCTTATCTTTCACACCTTCGGGAGAGTGATAGCTGTTGAAGTATACTAATCGGTCCCAGTTAAGGCATGGGGCGAATTCGTTCTCTGCGCAAGATGCCCACGGAGCATCTGATGCCTCTTTGTATTGCGAGTGAGAAGCCACGGATGCTACAGACATGACGGCTTTATTTCGGTACACAGGGCCAACTGGGGGCGTGCTGGAGGAGATGCCAACTACAACGTGGTGTTCGGCATTATATGGGGTAGTACTCATCGAGGCAAAACGTACATGCTGCCCCTGGGACCCTTACCCTTACCAAACTAACATTTACCCCTGACGAAGGAGACCAACATTACTAGCAGATTATCTCGTGTATCTAGTGCAAAACTGTTAGACTTCCGTACCGCAACCTTTTGGAGACACTGTGGCTGAAGAACCCCGTGGCTGGAGAACGTCACTTACAGTGTTAATAATAAGACAAACGGTACATATGTACCGTATATCACCACAGGAAGAGTGGTGGGGCGTAGGATTTTTGCACTGCGATTGGGTGATCCACCCCCAGGATCAGCTTACGCACGGTTATCGGTAGTGCTCACCAACGCCATCCCTAATAAGATGGTTATCGGTGCGGCTCAAAATGGGACCTGAACGGCACTCGGTCGTCCAACTCTGAGCCGACGTCCATCGTTACCCGGCATCACCATTTTGCATACGGAGGAGCCCCCGCGGCGGCGACGAAGTCATAGTGAGGAGACGAGACGGTCCGGAGGCGATGGGCGGCCGTGTGGATCATATTTCGGGGCGCGTCTCGCCGCTGTTCGCCTCGAGCCGAGTCGGGATAGGGCACATGGGAGCACGGTTTTGCAACAACTTGGCTATGTGGGACCTTTTGTAATGTTTGAACTACGTTTTTATTGATGCAGCTATCTAGGCTCAATTCAAAGATGCCCTCGCTGGTTTTGATCTATTAAGCAGATCATCGATGCAGAAAATTTCCGTGACAAATGCCAACGCCGACCATGTTCCTCTCCTCCCGAACGCCGATGCTCATTAAGTCATCCAAACATCTCGATGCATAAGTTGTGTCCTCAAAAGTGGACGGAGGAGGCAGAAGAGGCTATGATACCTGGACGGAGGTGTCCACGATCGTCCGTTCCTGATTGCTCTCGAACGCATTGGCGAGCTCCTCCTCCTTCTGCTTGCGCTCCATCTCCTCGAGGAACTGTGCATAGCGGGACTTCTTGTTGTGGATGCCGCACTCGGTCTTCTCCTGGCCCTTCCAGCGGCCGGCCCGCTCGTCCTCGCCCTCCGCGACGGGACTGGTCGAGTGCCAGTCGCCGACGGACTTGTAGCCCTGGTCGAGCAGGGCGTTGTAGGGCACGTCGTTCTCCTTGATGTAGCTCTGCACGTCCTTGAAGGACCAGTTGACGAGCGGGTTGATCTTGATGACGCCGCGCTCCTCGTCGATCTCGATGACCGGGATCGTGTTGCGCTGGCCGCCCTGCGAGCGCCGGCGGCCGGTCAGCACGGCGGCCACGTTGAGGTCGGCGTACGAGCGTTGCTGCGGCTCGACCTTGGCGATCCAATCGTACAACTCCGACGCCACCTCGTACAGTTTCTCGCCGTACTTCTCCTCGAACTCGGCGGCTGTGTCAGTGCCGTCGGGCTTGAATGTGTGCACCTTGATGTTTGGATATCGTTGCTTGACGCGCTCGACGAGGTCGTAGGTCTCCTGGAAGTGATATAGAGTGTCGAGGAAGATGAGGTCGACCGGCTGGGAGTCTGGTGACTCGGTCTGGATCTTGGAGAGCATGTCGATGGTCACGAGACCTGTGAGGCCGAATGCTGTTGTTTGATATAGGTTGGGAAAGAGCACCTTTGAGAAGCGGAGGATATCCATCGGGTGCATCTTCTCTAATTGTGCGTTGATGTGCTTGAGATGGTAAGGTGTAAATGAGACCTGTGGCAGAGTGGCTGTGGAGGATGTTGCTGAGGCATATCCAGACTCTGTCTCTGATGATGTCTCGAGTTTCGAGTCAACAGGTCTCAAGCGGGGAGACGTCTCCGTGGAGGAGGTCTGTGTTCTGGTGATGCGTTCCATTATGAAGTGTGGTCGCTGAGTCCCTTGTCTGATATGAGGCTTTTGTGACTAGTATACTTAATCACAGTGGACTGGCTTCTTATGTATCTGTAGGATATGAGACCGGGAACTGTTGCAAATAAAAAAGGAGGGGAAGAAGATGCTGGGAGGACTTTTAAAAGGGAAGGGATATGGACTAAGTGCGGGATGGGTCCGGATATGCTTCTTAGAAATTGGCACAAGTGGGTTGAGGAGGGCAGCTCACAGCCAGGCAGGTAACTCGGCATTCCCTGGCTCATACACAACACATACACAGAACTAGTACATGATACGGGGGCCGTCTCCTATGGAAGGCTTCTACGCAATTAGTCATTTGGGCCTACGGAGGAACATTTGATTCAGGTCGGCGGATATTGAGCACACAATTGGCCATATCTGGGTGGGAGATGGGGCAGGGCGCCCATCATGGGCTCGCATGGCTCATGAGAACCTGGCGGGCGGGCGGGCGAGTGGAGGGCGCCCTCGGAAGCCCCCTAGAAGAGATGAAGCAACTCTAAGGATGGCGCAATTGCTCGCCTGAAGCGACTGAAGCATCTCGCAGGCGGCTCGAGCGATGTGTTGATGAAGGCGAGCGATTGCGACATCCGCGCTAGGCCGATTTCGTGCTCGAGACGCCGCCTGATTGGCCGCTTGAAAATTCTTTGCAGGGTAGTACACAGGTACTTTGCCTTCCAGGTCGTCAATGATGGCCCGGTCGAGCCCTTGGGCAAACCCAGGAAAACAAGTAGACTCTCGAGGTATGCACACGGCTTGTTCGATCGCACGCCCTTGTGCTCCTCGATCACCAGTGCGTCGCGTTGACCAGAAAGCAGCACGGTCTCAACGTCATGACTTTCAGGTGATGTCGCCTGGCGCCAGAGTCAGCCTTTCCGCAAATCTGGGGTTCTACGGCGAAGCTGATTGACTGGCGGGTTTTGGGTTAGTTGACCTAAGGTTGTCTGGTAGTCTCGTATGACTAATGCAACAGCCTCAGGATCAGCTCTCAGAGCTCGAGGAGATGATGATGTAAGACTAATCCATTCCTCGATTACCTGATACGGCTTATTCTAGTCGTGACTTTTGCAAACTATCGGCTTGGTTCGGAGAGGCTCTCCACCACATGCCAGCCCCAAATTTGATAGCGGACCAGACAAGCATAAAAGCGTCTGGAAAGACCCGAGAATGACTAACAATTTTATGCGGGATATCGCTTTTGAAATGTTAGTGCTAAGTAATACTTTACCATGTCGCCTTGATACACTGCAATCTCCGCAACCTCATACTGATTTGGGATACCACACCTTCGCTTATGATTCTGTACGTGCTGTAGGCTATTGAAAGGACCGCGCACTATGTCTTGACTTTCCGGACCTCCTGATGGAGGGGCCAAACAGGAGGAAACCGTTGTCTATACTGAGCGGTGGCTTCATGAAGAGACACGTCGGGTGGACGGCTTTAGGAGTTGCAGGCCCCGTCGTTATCAATTGCCCGGCCGATTTTCTCCAAGTATGCCCGAACATATCCATCTATTCTCCAGTCTTATCACCACCCGCGTCGGATTGCGCGGGATGGCCATATCCAGATATGCTACCTAGGTGGACCAAGAGCTCTGACCCGAGCCTAACAATTTGTACTCATGCCGTGTGCCGAGTATGGTAAGAATGCGCGACGGGAGTCCAATGTGGCTTGATCATAGCTACAGTTTGCTTGTACTCTACAAAATAAGGATGAGGTTTCAGTAGGAAAGATCATGCCCTAGCAAGATGCACAAAGCTACGGGTGAGGGCTGGTGATCACTGGTGATGGCTGGCACCAAAAACCAATCCCGCCTTGTTGTCTGTCTGTGTCTTCTATCCGGACCTGTTGCCCCTGGTGCCCCTCCATTACTGCCCCTCTACAGCTCCGTCATTCAGTGACGGATGGCTCCGAGCGTAATGCAGGAGAAAATGCGGTGTGGCTGACACATTTAATACGGTAGGTTCCTAGGCTGCCAAAAACTGCCCCGCCAAACACATGTCGGGCACCCGGCACAGGATCTCCAACGCTAAGCCCCTGCCTGTGGCTGGCTAACCAACCAGCGTCTGGAGACCATCATCCACCGGTGCGACACCAAAAGACACGGCTTGGCTTTTTGGGTTGAGACGACCGCTTCTGACCTTTTGTGAAGAGTCTTTTTCAACCGCTTGCCTGGAGTTAGACGATAGCTTGATCGCGCGAGGCCTCAGTGTGTCCCTTATAGTTGCAGTTTGTCGCCTGTTCAGTCCCCCGGAGAGGCCTTGAAAATCATCCATCATGGCCGCCGACAGTGCCCCCACCAAGCAAGGCTCCGAGAGACCGTCGCTCTCCTCCTCCATGAGGAGCAGTTCCTATCTTCGCGAACATCAGCAGTATCGGTCGCCGAGCAAGCCAGAGAACCACTATGGTATTGACACTGTCGTTGAGGACCTCCAGGGCACTCAGATCACCCCGCCTAGGCAGTTCTCGCCCTTCAATGGGATCCCGTCTGCGGAGAATCCGCCCAAGGTCGTGGATGGATTGAGCCATGAACTGTCGCATCCAAACTGCTGCCCGGCGCCGGGCGCCAAGTCGGACAAGCTGACTGCCACCATCATCTATAGAGCATCCTCGCCCCGGGTGTCCAACGCGGTGCCCTCACCCCGCTCGCTCTCCCCCAAGTTGGCCGCCTCAGAGCCATCCGACATCCCCTCCAACATGGCGCCTACTACCGACATTGCAACCTTTCCCCTTGAACCTCCCATCGCCGACCCGGAGCCTCTCGACCACCTCTACGGCTCCTACATATCTCCTCTCTGCATCACATCCTTCCTCCACCTCATGTCCACCTTTCCCCTGCCGCCCGGCTCTACAGATCTAAGCTCCTCGCATCGCTGCCTCGACAACGTCGAGCACCCGCTTGTGGTGGAACTCACCTTGAACCCAGCCCCGTCCGCTGCCTACCTACCCTTAGCCGACCTGCGCAAGCACGAGTTGATCTACCGCTTCGAGCGAGAATGGAACGTCGATGTTGCCTTGCAGCCCGATACATTGTGGAGGCGGCACCCTCGACTCGTGGTTTTTGATATGGACAGCACATTGATCACGCAAGAGGTGATTGACCTCCTCGCTGCCGCGATTGGCCCCGAGCTCGCCGCGAAAGTGGCAGATATCACCCACCGTGCCATGCTCGGCGAGCTGCAGTTCGAGAGCGCTTTCAAGGAGCGAGTTGCGCTGCTCAAGGGATTGTCTGCGGACCTCTTCACGGAGCTGCGACCCGCCCTCAACGTCACCAAGGGCGTACCGCAGCTGATCAAGGCGCTCAAGCGACTGGGCGTCAAGACGGCTGTGCTGAGCGGTGGGTTCAAGCCCCTGACCGAGTGGCTAGCGGGCGAGCTGGGCATCGACTACGCATATGCCAACGAGGTGGTTATCGAGGACGGCAAGCTTACGGGCGAGGTGCAGGGCAAGATCGTGGGACGCGAACGCAAGTGCGAGCTGCTCAAGGAGATCGCCGCCAAGGAGGGTATCGCGCTCGAGCAGGTGGTGGCCGTCGGCGACGGCGCAAATGACCTACTCATGATGGAGGCGGCGGGTCTGGGTGTGGCGTGGAATGCGAAGCCCAGGGTGCAGATGGAGGCAGACGCGAGGCTGAATGGGAGCAGCCTGTTGGATCTGCTGTATCTATTTGGGTTCACACGTGAGGAGATAGAGCTGCTTTCCGCGTGAGTTCGGGAAAAGAAAACGGCTTCGAAGATAGGAGGGCCATGCTACTCAGGGGGTTATATAACGATTCACTTCAGAGATACCTGGCTAGACCGGCACAGTAAAAGAGGCGGCGGGCATAGGGTAATGGGATACACGGCCATAGGAGCTCCAGATTATGAAATTCAATGAATTCGGTGACTTTCACAACGAGAGTTGGTCTGGCTGCTAGAATACTACTGCAACATCATGTCCTCTAGACTTCTTCATCTTATCAACCTAAGCTGTTGCGGTTAATTACCGGTTGACAGGTAGGGCAGGAGAATGTGCAGCGCATTCTTAAATTTACATAGCGAGCTCGAGTCCCTGTTTCCCTGTTATAACCTTGAGCTTGTGTCGAGCTCACCTTCCTAGCTTGCGGCAGCATGGGCACTCAAGAGAAGATCAAAGCACGATCTTCGGGTGGTAGGAAGTCGGGATAGGCAATCACCACGAAGCTGGTTGACTCCTTCCATAAGTCTGCATGAAGAGGATCTGGATTTTAAGTTGAACACACAAACTAATAAAACAACAGCACACAAAAAATTTCTCTAGTGATCCGTAAAATGCATTGCGTTCGTAGCCTTGTAACATGTATCATCATATTTCCATAAATCGTTGCTCATCACTCGTCCTCACTCGTCACGGCTGGCTAGTGATAAGGCGCGCCTTCTCGGGAGATCTCAGCTTCAACCTGCACTCGAATGGCAAGGGGTGTCTGTTTGAGAATCGTTAGCGGAATCGCATCAGCTTGGCAGTCTTCTTGTCTGTCTTACCCTCCCAATCCAATGGACACGCCTTCTCGAGGCTCGATGGGCAGGCCATCTGATCCAATGACTTTCTCCAGGTCGAAAGTTGCCATCAATGTAGCCACGAATATATATACCGAGGCGAGAGCAAGGAAATTTCCAGGGCACTTGCGTCGTCCGAAGCCAAAGTTTCCTTGCGGATATGGTTCTCCACGCTCATATCGGTCCGGATCGAAGACGTCTGGGTTGGCATACACTGCTGGGTTTGAGGTCATTGCCTTTGTGTTTGCAAAAATGACAGAACCTTTTGGTATGAACATCCCATTGTAGACATCGTCTTCGAGACTCCTGTGTGGGATCACGAGCGGGTTCAAGGGAAGCATTCGCATCACCTCATTGACAAATCGTTCTAGATATCTCAAATTTGGGCGGTCATCAAAGTCGGGGAGTCTATCGGTACCGACAACAGCGTCGATCTCCTGCTGCACTCGTCGCTGGACCTCCGGGTACTTTGTCAGAAACAGCATGCATGACAGAACGGTGCTCCACGTGCTGTTTCCGCCAGCTATAAAGACTGCTCCCGTGGCACCCTTGATATCTGCCACCGTCATGTCATGCGCGCGGCCGGATTTTTCATTCTCCTTGAAACGCTCCCAGTGACTTTTCATGAAAGATGGCTGGGCTGTACCAGCCTCGATATCCTTCATGTTTGCAGCCCAGGGAATCTCGTGGATTGTTTGGATTGTTGTCCTGCTCCGTCGCGCATGTGTCAAGGGACGCGAGAGATTCATCCAATCAGGCAAATAACGAGCCGGTGGAAAGATGTCAACCAGCGATGATCCTGCAATACCTCCATTTGTTGTCGCATCGTTCGCGGCTTTCGACAGTGCACAATACGGAGACGATTGATCAGCGATCTCCTGGCCAAAAGCAATTCGAAAGATGATGCTGGTGGTGAGCAGCAACGTGATCTCGCTCCACTCCTCAGGGGTGTATAGCAGGGACCGAACCGCTTTCCGAGCCTCGTGAATTTGAATAGGTCGGAACACCTTCACACTCGACTGGGCGAAGGTCGTTTGAAAGAGCCGCCGATGTAGTTTGAATTGTGGTCCCCATCTCAGGAATGTCAGGGTGCGACCCCATCCCATTCTACAGTGTGTCAGAACTACAGCTTGCGACAGCTAATTCACCAAGTACGTACACTTCGAAAAGAGTAAATCGGGGGCGATCCGAATATTTGGCACCTCGACGATCGAGAAGGTCAGTTGCCGCCTGGAGGCTGTTGAGACATATCATGTGCTGACCAAGCACTTTGATATGAACCACATCCGAGTCTTGAATTGTAAGCATCTCTGAATCAACATCTCATCTCAGCGTTGTGCAACTCACCGTACTGTTCTCCCCATCGAATGTAGTCCTGTTCAGGATGATCGAGACTCAATTGTCCCAAATTCCCAAGCAGGAACTTACCCGGGGGCCCGGGAGGGAGGGGAGGATAGGAGTTCTTTTGCCGGACAGCATGAATGTACAGCAGCACCAACACCAACAACACGATGGCAAGATATAGATAGGTCCGCGACCTGTCTGGTAGGAGATCCATTTTCTATGAAGATTGTGGATACATGATCTTAGGGGAATTCTCGCGAAGCCACTTTTCAGGAGAACTTAACCATGAAGGCGGTTTACACCGACTCTTGCCTCTTAGAATGTCAATCGCCGCCCCACCGAGCGAAGAAGGATTTGCGCCTTAGGATTACGAGAGAAAGAGACAGACAACGGACGCTAACGGGGCCAACCGGTTGGCGGACATAATGAATGATTCAAACATCTGACGCAGGATGAAGGGTCTCCTTGCTAACGATGTGGTGTCGGAAGCCTCCCGAAGGACCATCGGAAGACACCAGATGATTCAATTATGCAAACCCCTTTATCGATATCTCCAAACCAGGAATTTTGCCCAATGGAAGCAATGGAAGGAACACGATCTCCGGTCACTTATGCAACAGGACGCAAGCGACGGTGTAGGCGGGCCTTACTTGCAGTGCGCAATCTAGTCTCCCAAAGACACACTTCTAGGTCATTCGCCGGCGCAGTCTGTGGCGAGTAATGCGGCAGAAGGGCACGGCACACACCAAGAGTCATGGCCACGCAGCAGATGATGACAACTCAGAAATCCATGCGCAATTCATAGCGGTGAGAGCTATGTAGGTCTTATTATGAATGGGTATCATCGTTCCACATTAGCGACTAGCTTGGCATCGAGTGTGGGCGAGCCTATTGCGGCGGCAAATGCGGCATCATTAAGCCTTGGGCTTGCTGGGGTTTCCGTTGCGATTTTCGTGCTGTGCCGTGGAAGAACGTGAAGCCAAATGAGAAGGGACAACAACCATGATTCTGTGCATCGCGGGAGGAGGTTGAAAGGCGAAGTCAGGAAACAGTTAGGCGCTTTGTTTTACCAAACCAACAATTCCCCGAATGCAAGTGACAGAACGTCTCCCGGCGCCATGCAGGGTTCTTTTGACGGGGCGAACCAACCCAAACCTCAACGGCGGGCCGTTGGAAGTGGAAAAAGGGCCCAGTACCTCGCTTTGCCGTCCACAGACGTTGTGGAAGTGCAGCGAACCAGGTCACCGCCAACACACAGTGCCTCACAATCACGCCCGGTGGGGGCTGTTGGTTCCTTTCAGCGTCATCACCCGCATTGTGATTGCCCCGGCAGATCACGTGTTGCTCGATAATGCTCTTGGTCGTCCGTGGCCATTGAGGTCTGCCGGATAAGACAACGGGACATGGATTGTAGAAGACACGAGTTCGTTGGCTGTTGGCTCTGAGATCCAGCCACCGCGTGAGATGTCTGGAGAGGCGTGCATGGGCCAGCCTCACCAGAAGCAACATCTGAGGAGTAGTTCGACTGATCGCTGTGGAGGGCTTTCCGCCCCAGCAGCCTCACAGGACAGTACCTACGTACCTAATCGTAAGACAAGCCTTCCTCCTGATCGGACACCGCTGCAGTGTCGTGCATTGAGGCTCAAAAGCTCCCGTCAACTTTCCCCAGGTTTAACGTTATTCGGATCGTCTGATCTTCTCTTTCGCAAGCTCGCTCCTCTTTTGCCTGCCCAGTGTCTCCCCTGCCTGCCCCCCACGCGAGCTGAGTGGGTCGTTCGCACTTGCCTTGCCAGCCAGGTCTGCCGACTGTTTAGGGGTCTCTGGGCTTCCCCCGCTCTTCAGCCTGATCAGCCAGTCACTGCGAGCTTCCTTTGCCCTCGCGGCAACCTTGAACTGGTCGATTCCCACACATTAGCCACCGGCAACTCTCCTCACTTTCACCAGTGTTTGCGTTGCCGCCCGCAAGTCCATATCTCCACCGAGCCTAATCGCACTTGTTCGAGCTCTGGCTCTGGCTCTGGCTGCTTGTGCCACGCCATCGACCGAATCCGTATCGCGCGCTGTCGCTGCTCGCAATGGATTCGGGTTCGTCGCCGCCGGTTCCTCTGCAGCCGCAGCCACCTATAGACCCGACTCTGTTGCCGCCCGAAGCGCAGCCTGGCGACGGCTCCGCGCCTGTTATCAAACGGCGTGCCCCAATTGCTTGCCGGAGGTGTGTCTTCTTGCTTGAACCTAATCGTTGCCGCGTCGGCAGTAGCTTGCCCAGCTTTGAGCTGCCAGCAAGCCACTGAAATGCCAAGCGTGCGATTTGGTCTGATAGGAACTGATGTGAATGGTTCAGATGCCGCCGTATGAGAAGTAAATGTCATCACGACAAAGCTCAACCGCCTTGTAAGGCCTGTGAGGAGGCCGGACTGGGCCCAGAAGAATGGTACTTTCCTGCTTGCTCAAATCTCGTTGCTCTGTGAGAAGACGGTGTACTGACTTTGGGTGGAATTAGTATCTTTCCCGTGCGTGGTCAACCTGATCGCGATCGCGACTATCGCCACCCTCGAATGAGGGCCGAGAAGATTAGCAAACGTGACCCTGTCAAGGTTCGCCGGGACATTCTAGATGCGCCCATCATCAGCTCGCCTGTGCCGGCCGGAAGGCAAGCAAAGGGCGTCGATGAGTGGGACTTTCTCCCACCCCTGCCTGAGATCATCGATGCCGTGAACCAATTTACCAGACTCTATTTCCAGCTGGGCTTCATACCCAAGCAGTTGTTTCCAGAGCGCCTGAAGAAAGACCACCGTTCCGTCAGTGTCTTCCTTCTTCTCAGCATCTTGAGCATATCAGCACGTTTCACGCCGTCAATCGTCCTACGCTATGGCGACGGCATGAAAGCGGCCGACATATTCATGGAGCGGGCATCTGTTGTTGCTTTATCGGAACTGTACCGCGAGCCTAGCTTGGAGAGATGTCAAGCTTTCTACCTTTTGAGTATTGCTCAGCAAGGCAGTGGATGGAAAAACAGGAGCTTTGTAAGAATGGCCTTCTTATAAATTGCAAAATCATTACTGATAATATCCAAGATCAACCTGGGTATCGCAATGCGTATGGCTGGATTGATGCGTCTGCATAGAGAAGAGACGTATGCGCTCAAAAGCCCAACCAAGGAGCTGATTGTTCGGGCAGAGTCCGCCCGCCGAACTTTTTGGATGCTTCACAGTAAGTCATAATATGTCTTTCGTTCGCACCAGCTGCGCTCTAACTCATTATAGGCCAAGACAACCTTCATTCCGGCCCCTCCTCACCTGTCTCGCTAGCAGCGAGTGATATCACCGCCCTACTCCCCGGAAATGAGGAAGACTTTGCTAAGGGCAGAGAACCTAAATCACGGGCAGCTCTAGAAGATACGCCGCCAGCTATTGAGAATCCAAGGTTGATCTCTGACCCTAATCGATCGCTCTTCGCTACACTCATCCAAACACATTACTTCTGGGGACGGATCTCCCGGCGAGCCGTGAGCCATGACTCTAGTTCTCGCCCCTGGGAAACCATGAGCGACTACGCCAAAATCCAAAAGAGTCTTGACACATGGGAGCAAGGTCTCCCGCGCGATCATGTTTGGAGCAGCTTTGCCTTGAAGGGCTACAAGACTGAGGGTCAAGATCTGGTAAGTTACAATTGCGGATTCTACTGGATGTCTCTCACTGATGGCTCAGGCCTACCTCGCCGTGACCATGGTGATCCGGCTTTGCAATATCGTTATCCGCAAGGCGTATCTTCGCTAGTAAGTGGGATCCAAGTTTCCCCCCGGATACAAACTAATTTTTGTCAGCATGATATTCCCTGACCAGTCTGAGCCCAATCTCCGCGCCTTCTGGTCTAATATGGCTTTGGAAATGTTCAAGAATGTCCGCGAGCTGTATGAGCAAATCGATACTCAATTCATCGATAGGGCGCCTGATGAGCATCTTGGTGCCCAAATGGCCGTAAGTGCCCTGTTCTGCCTGATCCCAGCACGGTGGACTAATCTATAAAAGGCATTTTGCGTATTCAGCTGTGCCCATATGGCCATATATCTGACCAAATATCCAACTCGTAAGCTTCTGTCTTGAGTTGGTCTGAAAGACCTCAAACTTGCTGACAAACATCACAGTCTGCCCCGACCCGGCCATTGTTCAAGATGGGCCAATGATGATTCAAAGGTGTATGACAATTTTAGCGGAAGCGCAGAATGTGTGGCCGCTTGCCAGTCGATGGATTGAGGGCCTAGAGAAGTTTGTCAATGACAATAAAGGTGCCGTGGCTGGTTTGGAGGGTAGTATGGCAGATGGCGTAAGTGACCTTTTGCCTTCGCATTACATTTCCCGTTTTGTTTGGTGTTTGCTTTTCGGTCATGCTGAGATTCTAACGTAGTGGCAGCGCGATCCGGTGCCCCACGCTCTGCAATCGTCAGGGTCGCCAACTAAGTCGACACCACCACGTTCAGAGAGCAGTCAGAACGAGCAGAAGCCCATTCTACCTGCCGAACCTAATCAGCAGAGGCATCATTCCATTGCCCCTAACACAAATATAGCGCCAGCACCTCCACAACCGGCGCCAATGATGTACATGGACCCGCAAATGCGAGCTCCGCATCCGCATTCGCAGAATCATACTCCGCAGCCACAAGCAATTGCCGCGATGCCGCCCCAAGGCCACCCGCAGCATCCTCAGCAGGTCGGGGCTCGGGGTCCTACTGATGGCCTTGGACTTCTTATCGAGGCGTTTGATACTCATCAGGGAGGTGGCATGGGAGGGCCTAGCGGACAAGCTTATGATCCTTCTATGGCTGGTCAGCATGCGGAGTATTATCCTCATCATGGAGCAGGTCTGGCTGGTAATGATGGTTATGAGAATGAGCTGCAGTTCTACATTGACGGCGCGCCGAATATTCAAAACTGGGTAGGGAATGGTGGAATGTATGGATACTAATCGTGGATATGGGGTGTAACACTTCAAAGGGGTACGGTCTGGGAGTTTAGGATTATGGTTGGGTTAAATTGTTCGAATGCCGGGACGAACTTGTATTGATATCCACGAATTAGGGCATACCAATCGAATAATATCATCCATCGGACGGCTTCGGTATCGAGTGACTGGTGTGAGATGCAAGTGGCAGATAGGCTGTGACTCTAGCTCAAGGTTGCTTGCCGTGGAAGGTAAGCAGATGCGATGAACTGACTGGAGATGACAAGGTGAGGCAAAGTACGAAAGGAAACAAGCACACGCCCTCGCCACCTCTCCGACCTGGCCGGCGTCGTGATGGCCAGCTGGCTGCACCCGTGTCACACTTACTCACCCACGTGCACACCCTCAGGCACCAACGCAGGCCCCCCGACTTGGGGTGCCCTTATATATCCAAAGATGGGCAAGATATGGTAACGAAGCAGGAACCCCCATGGGGATAACACGCGATGCCTGGACCGAGCGTATCAGTAGCGGGATGAAGGGCTCTTCATGAGGAAAAACTTCGGCTTTTCCGGACCTTCGGGTTTCTTTTTTTTTCTTTTATATCCAAACTATTTCTTTATGCATGTTACTGCTACTGGCTATGAGGTATACTATATCTTGAACGTATGCTTCTGAAAGATATTGCTGGTTGTGGCTTGTTTTGCTGGCGAGATGGAGTGGTGATGGCAGGCGAGATGCATGACGAATTCTACGTGGTGTTGATCACCGGCACGGTGACTGCATCTGCGGGCACTGCGGTCGATGTACCTTTCTGGACTAGAAAAAATGCCTGTTTGGCGTAACGGTCAGGTGTGTGAGGTTGTTTGTGGTATCTTAAACTTGCCTGCTTGTTTACTTCGGATGAAAAGGGGGTTGGCCAAGGGGGTCGCCTGTTCGACTTGCCGCTTGATCCCCCTTTATTCGACTTTTTGGTCTTTTTGAACCTTCTCTGGCGGTCAGGCATGGAAATAATGCGCTATACCCAGTTCTAGAGTTTGCTTTCTCGATATTCTCAAACTAACACGGAACCTATGGTTTTGTAGAACCCCTCCAAGATCTCACCATGTGTTGACTGCAGATGCTGTATGATGGGTTCTTTGAAGCACAAACGAGGTTCTAATCTCCCCGAAAGAAAAGAAAGGCTAAAACAACGTGACTCGCATACAGAGATTCGCCTTTGGGTATCACCTGCGTCTCGAGGCCCTCGTCCTTGACCCTCTTCCACGAAGCCGCACATTGCGATTTTGTGGATAATCTACTCGACCTTGCGCCTGATTAATATCGTTAACCCCAGATGCCGAAGAGATATTATCGCTGACTCTCTGTTGGGCCTCAAACAAGGCTATAACGGTTTCAGTATGACTACTCAACAGAGCCATGTCCCTTGCGGTATGGCCTCTCGAATCTGTTAACTGAAGATTCGCACCTGCCTCTATAAGGAGTAGAAGAACCTGTAAGTGCCCATTGCGCGCTGCTAGGTGAAGCGGCGACCAGTTTCCTGATGGATGGATATTGGCCTCAGCTTCCAACAAACGACGTACAAGCTCTACATCCCCAGCAGCCGAGGCGATATGCAAGGCTGTCTGCCTCGACCAATTGCTCTCCGTCACATTGGGATCGGCTCCAGCAGAAAGCAGACGGCTGACGAAGTCTACCGCTTTCAGCTTGGTTGCGGCGGTGAGTGGCGGCTCGTTTGCAGGAGCCGTCCCCATGGCCACGGGCGTTGCGTCTATGCCGTTGACATCTGCCCCTGAAGCGAGTAGGAACTCGAACATTTCCACCGAACCGGCTTTGATTGCGAACTTCAGGGCCGGGCCGAATTCTCTCGCCCCTCTCTTGTCCATTTCCTCGAGGAGCAGCCTGACCATGTCTTTGTCTCCTCGGAAAGCTGCCGCTGCTATAGCACTCCCTTGCTCGCCGCCCGTCAGGTAGATATCAGCGCCAGATGCCAGAAGAAACTGAACGACTTCGCGGTTCCCGCAAGTTACAGCGGTAATCAGCGGCGTGGGAGTCCGTCCATTTTCACCGGCCTGCCGATTCACGTCGGCACCCGCATCCACCAGTAAGCGCACAGTGTTCATACAACCATTGAGAATCGACACACATAGCGGCGTCTCGCCTTCATCCTCTGGATCATTGATATCCGCCCCTGCTGCGAGCAAAATCCGGATGCACGCATCGTAGCCCCGCTTACAGGGTCCCTTCAGTACCTCATCGGCCTGAACGTCTGCGCCTGCTGCTAGCAGTAGCGAGACTATTCCCTCAAGACCTTTGTGTGAGGCGGCGGCGAGCGCGGTGGTGGGCCAGCCGGACACGTTTGGATCAGCTCCTGCTTCGAGCAGCATCTGGACTATGTTCTTATGGCCTGCTTTCGAGGCTTCTATCAGTGGCGAGGTGTCGTCTTTCAGCGCGTTCACGTCCGCCCCTGCCTGGATCAACGCATTCACGACGATATCGTAGCCGCTGGCTGCTGCTTGCCGAAGTGCCGCTCCGAGCCTTCCGTTTTGATCAGGACTGGGCACAGCTGTGGCGAGGATCGTCCGGACAAGGCCGATATGTCCCGAGGCTGCCGCATCAATCAAGCCGGGCACATCATATTCTACAAGGGCGCTGTCTTCTGCGGCGCCATCATACGGGTCCAACGGTTTGAGCTGAGACCGTTTGCCCTTGTTGGCGCCATCGTAATGCACGCTGGTCCAGTTCATCTCTTTCTCGCCCGGACTGTACATCCTTAGAGTACACATCCTCGAACCTGAGTTGGACACTCTTTTCTTGCCGAGGAACTTGCATCAGAGTCAGTGTCGCGAAACATAAGACAGATGGTTAGGGGTTCGGTCTGCTCACCCAGTCTTTGTTGAAACCCACTCTGATGCCGCCGGCAAAGCAAACTAGACCTTCATCGGCGTTCTAGACAGCAGCAAGGGTGAGTAACTCAGGCCTGGACACAAATCGGAGCAAGAATAGCCTCACCTCTGCCGAATAATGCAACCAGCTCTCATCCCGACAGAACACCCCATCACCGGCACTGACCTCATGCCTGGCAGCGCCACCAGAGAAGCGCACTCTTACAGCAGCCGCCGTGTCCTCCCACACCTTCAGCCACATGTCCGCGGTGCTGTACGTGCTGGTGATGATCCAGAGGTCGTTTCTCCGCGCCTCCCAGTAGTACCGCGGGAACACCCGCTGGTTCAGCCGGATCCAGTCCTGCAGCCGGCGCGGCGTCTTGATGCTCGCGTGCGCCACCGGGCCGGGCGTGGCGAGCACGGCGCCGAGCTGCGGGGCAAACCGTCCGCTCCACGGATCGATAATGCTCACCGGAAACCGACTGCCGCACCGAGTTAGCGGTTCTTCTCGCTTGAGAGGTCCGAAGGGACAGATTAGATGAGGGACATGACTCACGTGTCCAAGCCGAAGCTCCCGTCTTCATGGCTCATCACGTACGCAGACCGCTTTGGTTCCCACTGCAGCGTCTCCGTGCTGACCTTGAGATTGATCTGCGGCTCCAGGGGTGACAGTTTGCCTTTCATGCCCCGGGGCTCCTGGGGCTCCCGAGCCCCGGAAGGCGAAGGCGACTGCCGCAGCTTCTGCAGGGAGGTGATGTGGATCCACTGCCCGTTCGTGTTGAAGTATCCGATAGCTCCTGGGTATATCTTTGCGGTGCTGATGCCCTGGTATAAGGCGTGGCCTAGATTGTGATGCATCATGCTGTCGGCGTAGCGCATGGCCACCTTGTGGCGGCTGCTCCGCCTATCCATTATTCTCCGTTGGCATAGGATGAGGGGGCAGTATTATTGAAACGTCAGAAGCCCCTCCAAAAAAGGAGAGAAGAATGACTACATCAAGATAGAGCCAGTGTTATTGACGTCTGAGCACCACGGGCTGTTCGCCACGGCTGTGGGCGACTGAGGTAGCTTCTGCCTGGGCAAGGCTGGCCGGGCGCTGGCTAAATGCCGACCGGGCATTGCATTCAACCTGTCAAAGACACAGCCAATCACGCACAGAGGGGCTCACATGAATATGGGGGATCTGGCTTATTGATTGCATCTACTGTACGCAATACTTGATTTCGACTGCGGTCACTCGACCGAAACAGCCACAAGTTTCTCGTCTCTCTCTCCGATTCCGTCTCTGCCTCTCTTGCTCAAATCCGTGCCTGTCCAGCTTCCAGCCTCTCGAAAACTTCAAAGCAAAACCGGAAATTCCTCCGTCTGCACGATGGAATTTCGGATCACACAGAAGCCCAGGTATAAGAGTCTATGTTTGCACTGGAGGCCGAAAACGTTGCGCTCCGCAGATTGTGTACGAACACAAACGCCTGTCGAGACCTTGATCTTCCTCTCTCCCCGAGCGATGTTCCAGTCCTGAAAACGCCCCCCAAGCACTGTAACCAATTTCACTTGAAATTGGTACAAAGGCTTGGCTTTCCCCTGGTCCTCCTTTCATCATCCGTTTGTTTTCCGTGTCTCCGTCTCTACATAACTAGTTCGTACCCGCCGAAGCGTGGTCGATACATGACGTGTCTCTCTATTCTTCGCATTCCCATTAAAAACGAGAAGCCTCATTGATGAAAGTGGTAACAAAAGTGGTTGCAGCTTGATAAGGGGTAAAACGTGTTGTGTCCTGGGATATTGGGGGTATTGTCGACTCCAAATAACAGTGTAGAGGTCTATATACACATGATGCTTGGTGTCTTCCGCATTTCGCGTAGTGCTGTGGTGTTGTGAATTGATGGCTGCTGGGGTATGGGTATTGCGTCGCTGCCGTCCGGGTGATGTACCGAGTAGGCTCAGCGCAAGATGGAGTTGCTGGGAACGGCCGCCGCAGGGGGTGGGGGCAAAAAAGCAGTGGCGACGAGATAACTACTGCTCTGAGCGGTAAGTGCTCAGCTTGTCATGACGTTGGTGGAACCGCCAATTTGACGCTTGACTTGCTCACGAGCCCACCGAGCAGTCTCAATGGTTCGTGATGTGAAGTCGCGGTTGGTCCGTGTCTCCTTGATGAGGATAGTCAACCAGTCCTGACGGAAAGCCTCAACGAGCTCTCCATTAGGGTAGGCATCAGCGAGGTCGCTAGAGCAAAGATTAGTATTTCAATGAATCAACGAAAAAGAGCATGAGAGAAAAATACCCAATAACACCCATGGCTGCCCGCATCAACGCCTCGCTACGGTTGATATCATTGGCAATGACGTTTAGCAACTGGAAAATGGATTGCACATAGGGCTGCAGAACTTGGGCTACGCCGGATGTTAGCATGATCGATCCAACAAGTGTACGTCTTGAACTCACTCTTTCCACTGGACTTCATAGCTCCAATGATGCCACCCCAAGCGTCCATGATGCCTTCTCGGAGGGAGACAACATAGTCGAACATCTCATAGCTACCCTCTGGGCTAGCAGTGACAGTGGCCGCTTGCTGAAGAACCTGTGCCACCACAGAGAGGTATGTCTCAAAGTGTCCGGTAATAGCGCCTGCAATATCGCCGAAACATTGCAGAATAGCCGGCTTGAACTGGTTGGACAACGTAGTGCTCTGTAAAAATACGTTAGAAATTTGGACAACTTCGTATACATGATCAGAAGCGGTGTCAAAAAAAGAAGGGAGACAAACCCGAAGATTGTTGAGGAGGTAGTTCATGAAGTTGTCGCAATACGGCTGACTGCGCTCTCCCATAGATCGCGTGATGTCGCTGACGAGGCCAATAGCCATCGAGCACAAGCTTGGCTCCTCCTGGTTGCCCAGAGCATTGTATAGGAAGGGAGTGAAGGCGTCCATGTACTTGGCAAAGTCGTCCTCGATGGCGTTGGCGAGACCGCTAATCACGGCGAAGACAGCCTCGGGAACACTGGACTTGCCACCAGAAGTGCTAAGGATTTGAAGCAGGACTTGCATTATGCGGTCGCCCTGAGGCAGAATCTCCTTATCCAGACGCTGGACAATTGCTTGTAGAACGGTGCACAAGCTGGTCTGCATATCCTCCAATGTGATCTTGTCCTCGACACTGACAACCTGGCTTTGCAGGGGAATGGTCTCCTCCAATCGCTTGATGATGACATCGGAAAGGGACGCAATGGGCTGCAGTGACTCGCTAGCCGCATTCTGGACGAACACATTAAGAACCTCATATGCAGCAGTGCGTACCGACGTGTCAGCGTTTGCCTGGGCAGTGACGTTGAGCAAGTTGGTCACGCTCTGGTTGAAATGAGGCGTAAGAGGGTTTGCGTGAGCGCCAGGCTCACCGGCAAACCGCTCGGCGAGGTTCATGAGCGCCCAGCAGCACGAAGCGGCCATCTTAGGGTTATTCAGCAGCCCGGCGAATAGTGACCGAATCAAGGGGTCAAGGTGCTGGCTGGGGTCAATAGCCTCTGAGCATGCCTCGGTGATGCGACCCAGGGCATAGGCAGTGGAGTCCTTGACGTGGAGCGACGGATCCTCCATCATGCCAATCAGGATCTGGAGGGCAGACTTGACGATGGGCTCCAGGACCTTCTCATCCGGACCCTCCATGATGGCGCCGAAAGCCGAAACAGCAGCATCACGGTTGTGCCAATCATCCGACCGTAGGTTTGCCTCGACGAACTGAATGACAGGTGGGATGATAGTGGCGCCCACAGCCTGTGAGTATAGCTGTAGACATTGGTATGCAGCGCGGGAGATGTTGTATTCGTCGTCAGCAGCATCCTCATCCTGCTTGGTGAGTAGAGTTAGAAGCACTGGTACGACTTCGTTTGTCGCTACACGGCTGAAGTTATAGAATGGTCTCATCTGATCTGAGCTCTCCACCTAGAAGCATCATTAGCATCCGGCACGTTCGCACATCATAGTCCCGACTTACCTGAGCATTGTCATCCTCGATTGCAATCTCCTCCTCGCAAACAGTGCTCCAGAACTCGACAGCCAGCTTGGCAACATCCTCGTCCGAGTTTTTCATGCCAAGAATGGTGAGGCCGAATAGAGCCTTCTCCATGTAGAAACGCATGTTGTCGTAGTATAGGGCCATGATTCGGTTCAAGCAACCGAAGGCGCCCTGCTGTATCCTGGTATCATCGGCTTGTGTGGCCTCGCAGACAACCTGCATGATGTAGTTGCGCTCTCCCTCGTGCTTGAAGTTGTTTCCAACAAACTCCAGCGAGTCGCCCAAGGCTGTGATGGCAGCGAGGCGGACCTCGCCATTTGTCTCCTCCTTTCGAGCTCCTTGTACGACGGCAGTCAGGATGGCATTTGAGTGTGCGATTAGGGCTGTTCGGAGGTCTGGGTCTTGGCTTTCGCAGATGAAGCCAATAGCGGTCAGGGAAGCCTGCTTCTGGTGCGGTGAGCCGTCGCTGACGTTGCGGACCAGAGACGCCATCAAATCCTGCCACTGGTTGCGAGGCAGCTCGATCGCGGCAATGGATGCCACGACCTGGGCCGAAGCCTGGCCGGCCTGTGCATTATTTGAGGAGAGGGTCTGCAACGCCAGGCTCTTGACGCGTGTCTTGGTCTCTTGATCTGTATCTTGGAGCCATTTTTGCTGTATGGCTGCTTGTCGGGCAAACTCTCTGGTTGTGAATGCGTTCTTTAGGGCAAGACCTGCGGCTGCTCGAATGTGGCCTTGTGCGTTCTCGTTTGCTAGCTCCTGAACCAGGGTAGCGAGGTATAGGGACTACGAGGCGGGATTTCTCATTAGCTCCTGCGAGTGCTAGGGCCGGTGACGGCAGAAAGGGAAAATGAAGAGAAGAGCTTACAAAGTTGGTCTCAGCAGCCTGAGTGAGCTGCTGTTCGGCGGCATGGCGGAGGTTCGCGTCTGTGAAGGGTTAGCAGAGCTGCCACAGCCTTGGACGGGACGCGACTATGTCGGGGGAAAGCTGCAGTTGTCGGACGGGACGGGGGAAAAGGCGGAAGACGAAGACGATGAGGATGAGGATGGGGAGGACTTACCGGGAGACAGCGAATTGGTGAGGACGGAGTTGATGTCGGGTGCGGATTCGGCCATGGTGACGTCTCGTGGCTGGCAATTCGACTCTGAGCGTCAGGTGGGAAGAATCGAAGATCAAAGGCCAAAGGTCGGTCGCGAGGTTTGACGTGGTCGATGGCACGTGGAAGAAAGTTTGCTGGAGTGAACTGCCTGGCTTAACCTAAGCGGGGAGAGATTACAAGCCGGCAACGCACAGGCTTAACAGATGCGGCGCGGGAAAGGCGTGGTAGAATGTTAGTGTCGAAGCGAGCGCCAGGGTAGTGTCTGGTCTGGTCTAGTAGGCAGGCAGACGGGCGGGAAAGCTAGCTGGCTACTGGCTGCTGGCTGCTGGCTGCTGGCTGCTGGCTGCTGGCTGCTGGCTGCTTGCGGCTGCTGATGAAATGGGATGGGATGGGTACGAATGAGTCGTCTGGAGGAAAACACGAGCGAATGAATGCAGGTGAACGTATTGAACCCCTCGCTCCTGTCCTCCTGTGCTCCTGTGCTAGCACCGTATAGGTAGTAGGGGACGTACCGGGGCACGGCCAGGGAAATTTGGCGCTGGATTTGGAGCCGGCTCTGCACCTAACGCAGTCTAGAGAGAAAAGTGATGTCGTTTCCTAAGAAACAAGTGGGCTGTTTTCTGGAGGCGCGGGGCTTGTTGACTTTGCAGTGTTTTTTCTCCTTGTCTATTGCATCTGAGATGGATGGCTATCCGTCTGCTTTGCGGTGAAGGGCCTCAAGAGTCTGGTCGAGAGGCAGCTCTGGGCTGGATGCAGGACATAGACAGAGAGAAGACGGTGGAATTTTACGGTATGGTTGTTGGTATGGTATGGTACGGTGTGGTACGGTCTGTTTAGTCAAGAATCAAGATGCACGTCAGGAAGGAAGGAAGGGGGATGCGGTACGGTGCAGTGCGGTACAGTACAGTGAAAATGAATGTGGAGAATTCGGGGGCCAGGCGAGATGAGATGATCCAATGTGAGAAGGCAATAGCTAAGCCTCGACGTCCCTGGCTTGGTCAATTCTAGCCCTCCACCTATTGTGCGATTCTGGAATTCTCTTATGATGATTGACTTTATTGGAAAACAAGAAACAAGACCGGTAACATATTGAGGAGACTCGGGAGGTCAGAAGATGAACGTGTACATGCAATGCCAGGTCGTTCCATTGTCCACGGCAAGTGAGTGCTCACCTCGCCTCACCTCACCTCACTTCACTTGCTCCATCACTGCAGCTGCGACCTTCGCTCCCCTTCTCTTTGCGGATCCACTGACGTTGTTGCCCTTCTTTCCCGTTGGCAGAGCCCGTCATCCAATCGCCGTGCCCCGAACTGCTTTTCGCTTCCGTTGTGGCCAAAAGCATAAACTTTACCCGTTCATCTACGGACTTTGAATTACGTAGCTCACTTCCATGAGGATTGACTCGGGGCGATTATCCAATTCATGCGTCCAATCATGGCGCTTCTCATCTCTATTACCTAACCCTGGAACCGTGGGAAAGTAAGATGGCTCCTTTTCGTACCTACAAGAATCCTAGACAGTAGAGAGCGGAGAGGAGGGAAGAAGCTCAATTACCGATGCCTGCTCGCCTAATAAGTTATCCTAACCTAACCCAACCCTTCGGGCTCTCCCCTTTCGAGTGTAGCCCCGCCCCAGGAGGAACACTCTGACCACCACCTTCTTCCCCTTGTTACCTTACCCACGCATCGCCAGACACTCACATGCCAGGTCCATCGGGTCCCCTCATCCCCCCCTCTCCCCTCTTCTTCTTACCGGACTCGCCCAATTCCAAACGAAGAGACGCCAGCCATTTGCGAGACAAAGGACTGCGTTGGAATTCGGGGTGCCTCTCTAGCATCACTCTATCGGCGGCCAGATTCCCGCGAGGGCCAGCCCTGTCTCACAATCTGACATTTCACTGTACGTACAGTAGTCACAATACTGCATCATCAATTGAAGTGAAGGCCGTTTGAATAAATTAATGCCAGTTTTTTGTGTGCTGACTCCAGCAAATGTACCTCTGTATGCATATCTCTTTTTGGGTGATCCAATCTGTGTGTCTGTATGCCTGTATAGAGAGAAACAGCCACTATGCAAAAGCTTTTGAAAGGTTCCATTTTGACCAAAAAAAAACCCTTCCCGTGTTGAAAAATATGCACATGTCGAGAGAATGACTTTTTATCTCTTCTCAATCAACCGTCTCTGCTTCGCCATCTTTCTGAAGTCCCCGTTTTTGGTTAAGCATCAAGTACGTTTACATCTCATCCGCCGTCGCCTCCAGGCGGTTGATGATGTCGGTGCCGTTCGCCGCCCCGTTCTCCTTGGCGTGCTTTGCAGAGCCATTCAGATCCAACTCCTGGCTAGGCGACCGCTTCGGGATGGGCTTTGCGAAGATCGGGCTCGTGGGCCGGCTCACGACGAACTGTAAACTCCATATTAGCTCATGACTTGCACGTAGATATGCCTACGGGAGGGATATAGAAGCTCACGTTACTAGCAGCGCTTAACAGCGCAATCAGAGAGCTCTGCGCCACGTCCTCGTGGATGCCCACGCCCCAGACCTTCTGCTGGCTGTGCGGCGTCGTGCACTCAATGTACGAGGCCGCCTTGACGTCGCTGCCCTTGCCGACCGAGTGCTCGATGTAGTTGGCGACCTCGATGTCGACGCCCACCTCCTTGAGGGCGTTGGCCAAGCTGGACAGCGGGCCGTTTCCGCGGCCGCGCAGGTTGTACTCCTTGCCGTCGACGGCGATGACGCCCTCAAAGACACGCGCAAGGTTCTTGGTGTCGGGCGTCTTGCCGGGCACGGGCGGCGCGGGGCTGCGCGAGCGGTCCGGCGTGATGTTGTAGTCGACGATGGTGAAGCGCGGGTGGTTCTCGCGCAGGAAGTACGTCTGCTCGAACAGCTTGGTGATCTCGACGGGGAGCAGCTCGCGCCCGCGCTGCTCAGCCATGCGCTGCACCACGCGGCTGAACTCGACTTGCAGGCCGCGCGGCAGGTCGAGGTGCAGGTACTGCTGGATGATCCAGGCCGCGCCGCCCTTGCCGCTCTGCGAATTGACCCGGATGACGGCCTGGTAGTCGCGGCCGATGTCCTTGGGGTCGAGAGGCAGATATGGGACCTGCCAGTAGTCGTCGTACTCCTTGCCCTCCTTCTCGCGTACCTGGAAGCCCTTCTTGATCGCGTCCTGGTGAGAGCCGCTGAATGCGCAGACGACCAGAGAGCCTCCGTAGGGAGCACGTGGGTGTACGGGGATCTTGTTGCAGACTTCTACCGTGCCGATAACCCTCTCGAGGTCTGAGAAGTCGACGTCCGGCGAGACGCCCTGTGTATAGAGGTTAAGCGCTAGAGTCACCAGATCGACATTGCCTGTTCGCTCTCCATTGCCAAATAGGCAGCCTTCTACTCTGTCAGCACCCGCCATCTGTGCCAACTCGGCCGCGGCGACAGCACATCCGCGGTCATTGTGCGGGTGAAGGGATACGGCGATCTTCTCGCGTTCGGTGACATTTCTGCAGAAGTACTCGATCTGGTCGGCGTAGACGTTAGGCGTGGACATCTCTACCGTCGCGGGGAGGTTGAAGATGATCGGATTTTCCTCCGAGGGCTCCCACTCCGCCTTAACAGCCTCACAAATCCTGATGACAAAGTCCGAATTGGTATCAGAGAATGTCTCCGGGCTAAACTCGAATGCCCACTCGGTCCCTTGCGCACTGGGGTCGTCCTTGGTCAAGGACCTGACCAGACGCGTGCACTTCTTCGCCAGCTCTACCGACTCATCCTCGGTGAAGCCGAACACTATCCTGCGGAAGCACTCGCTGGTAGCGAGATATATGTGTACAATGGCCTTCTTGGCGCCCTTGAGAGACTCGATTGTGCGGCGGATGAGGTCTTCGCGGCAGGGGGAGAGGACTTGCAGCCAGACGTCGTCGGGGACAGCCCCAGGGGTCTCGATCAGGCGGCGGGTGAAGTCGTAGTCGGTTTGCGACGCCGAGGGGAAGGACACCTCGATCTCCTTGTAGCCGATGTCGCAGAGCATCTTGAAGTAGGTCCATTTCTCCTCGCCAGTCTGCGCCGTATCAGATTAGTGGCTCGTATGTGAAGCGCATACTCCTAGATGGACATACCATTGGGTCTGGCAAGCTCTGGTTACCGTCTCTGAGGTCGGTGGCCAGCCATCTCGGAGCCTTGTCAATGGTCTTGGAAGGCCATTGGCGATCAGGTAGGTTTACAGTCGGGAATTTCCTGTACTTTTTGGAGGGATCTTTGAGCCTGGCCGCGCGCAATTGCTGGTTAGACGATGTTCTTCGTCAAGCGGAAGAGTGTCTCTGTCCAGCGGGGGAGGGGGGGACTACTAACATGGGCATCTTGACTCAATGCGGGGGGGAGTCAGGATGAAGATTAATTTTTTTGGTCTTGTCAATTGAGATGACGGAAGGAGGGGCACAGCGGCAGACACACAAGCACAGTGCGGGCGCACACTCTGAGCTTGTCGAGCTGGAATGCGATGAAGAAGGTATTCTGGTAACGAGAATTGATTTGAGTAAAGGTTAGGGGAAAGATTGACTGTAAATAAGCCAGGATATGGTGTACATGTAGGATATGTGTGTAGTGGAAAAACCATAGAGGGAGTCGATTCTGAGTCACTCGATGTAGTTCACAAGCTCGACCTTTCGGGGCCGGGTAACTAACAACTAGACTACACACCATCGACACCTCAAAGGTTAAAACAGGCAGGGCAAGGCGAGGCGAGGCGAGAAAGCCGCCACAAATATGTTTATATGTTAGTCGTATAGAGTAGACTCTCCCGTACATAATACATAATATGATGCATATGCTACTACCTACATGTACGTAGTCAGTCAAACTTGCCACGATCGAAGTGAAGTGCATCTCAATGCCTTTCAAGGCCTAGCCGCAAGTGCTGCATGTTGCAGTCCGCATTCTCGCACGACATACAACATACAACATGCCGCCGTTGACTCGTTGAGACAGATGGCACGTCGTTTCTCGACGCCCGCGGGGAAGACGTGCGCATACTTTACCCCACCGAAGGCTTCACACCACCACTCTTCCTCGTCTTCCTCCTGCAGCACGCAGGCGACTCCCAGCATAACAGGATGCATCACAGCATACCTGGGTAGCACGCACGTTCGCGTGGCAGGATGTGGGTGTTGGCATACTACCGCTAGGTACCTATGCATTCATTCATTGCTCAGGCGAGCCAGGCGCCGCCGCTGACCTTAGGTGAGCTGGCCACTGGCCTACCTAGATACTTACCTAAGGACGCCAATCGATCCACTTGCAGCCGTCAGTTCAGAAAAATCTGTGGTGCCCCTCATTCCCGTCAGTTTGCCGACGTCGGGAAAGGCACGCATTGGGCCCCCCCCACCCCTTCAATAACCGCCACAAAGCGACAGTCGATCGCCCAAAGTCTGCTCACTTGCGCAACGAGCCTCTATCTAATCTTGCTGATCTCAGATGTCCCAGTCGGATGCCCCTGCCCCTGCCCCTGAGATCTCCAGAGTCTTCTTGCTGTGAGTGGTGGATCTGGGTCATCTCGTTCGGACTCCCGAGATAGTCGTGATTCTGGGTCCGAGACTATCTTATGGACGGGATGCACTGAGGCTTGTCTAAGTGGCTCGACACTGACCGTGATGTCTCTTGCCGAGCATATCCGTAAAGCCAAGGCCACTCATATTCAAGAGTCCATGACTGTGACGCAGATGCCGTACCTTCGTTAGGAGTTGTGTGACACCTGGCAAATCGTGGCAGCTTGGGTCGTTATATCCTAAAATGCTCTTGATATCCAACTAAGGCATGCTAACTACAAGTTATCAACATCGACCAAGGGATGAGTTATATCTTACATTTATAGGGGGACGATTTGAAGGCATATCTTTGCAAGTTGGAATATGTATTAGCCCCAAATCGAGGGTCGACAAAAATGATATATACAAGTGGCTCGTCTCCATCATCCCCCTCGAGCCCTTCTCTCCCTGGTCCTACAACGGACCAGTCTCACTGTTCTAAATGGTTTCTAGCCATTATCTAGGTACAACAGGACGGGAAATGAAAATGCCGCAGAAAACTCCAGGCCGCTTCGACATGCAAAGTAGTACGGGATATACCCAAAGGAATCTAGAAGAAGAGAAGTAGATGAAAGAAGAACCAAATGGAGCATTTGTCCAAAATATCAGATCAACAATATCGAGATCGCCTAGCTGGTCACTGTACCAGCTGCTGTCTGCTGGCTGGTGAATCACCACGTGAAGCTCTCCTCCACAAAGTCCACCACGCTCCCATGGTCCTGTACCATGCGCACCGCGGCTCTGACGTCGTCGGCCAGCGCGCCCGGCCCGCACACCGTGACGCACATGGCGCCCATCTGCTCGCCGACCTCCTTGCTCAGCAGCGTGGGGATGTTGGGGCGGCCGGGGAACATCTGCACGGTGCTGGACTGCGACACGATCTGGCGGCTGTTCTTGGGCCGCGTGACGAACAGCTTGATGAGCAGCAGCTGCTTGCGGTTCGGCAGGCGCAGCACCGCGTCCATCCAGGGCCGCACCCACTCGAGCGCTTCGTAGTCGCGCACGATCCACACGAGCGTGATGCGCCGCGTCGCCACCGTGCCCGCGCCGTACCCCTCGATCAAGTGCCGGAGGTACGACATCTGGTGCGTGATCCCCGTCGCCCCCGCCACCAGCACCGCGTGCCCGTAGCTGTCCAGCGAGTGGTGCCCGCCGTAGGGCCCCTCGAACGCCGCCCGCAGCGTCACGCTCTGCCGGCCCGACGCGCGCGCCCGGTCGTACAGCTTGCGCGTGAAGCCCGTCTGCGCGCCGACGACGAACGACACGGACGTGCGCGCCTTGGCGAGCCGCGCGAGCAGCGGCTCCCGCTTCTCGTTGTAGGGGAGGGCCTGCTCCGTGTGCTCCGTCCACGCGATCGAGAAGGGGTGGTTCTCCCACGGGTTGACGCCCGCGAAGCGCAGGTACGCGTGGCTGCCGGGCGCGACGTCTACGTACCGCGGCAGGTGCATCGTCACGCGACAGCACTCGCCGGGCATGGGCTCGATGACGGCCTCGGTGTAGCCCTTGCTTGACCAGTTGTAGTAGCAGAGGCGGAACATGCGGTAGAATCGCTCGGCCATCCAGAGGAGGAAGATAGCGATGACCCACGGCAGCTGGGGAAGGCCGCCGGGGATAGCGGCGGTCGCGCAGTGGATCCAGGTCATGACGAAGGCGATGAACGCGAGGATGATGTGGGTGTTCAGGAATGTCTCGTAGAAGGCGTGGCGGATCGGCGAGAAGGACAGGATCATGAGGATGACGAACGCGAGGGTGCCGGCGGTGCCCGACGCGATGAATTTGTCATGGAATACTCTGTCGCTCACACTCTCCCAGCCTCCATCGGCGACTTGGACGATGGCCCAGGCAAGCGTGTGGATGAGGGTCTCGATGACCACTGTGCGGCCGATCCATCGGTGGAAGAGGTTGTAGGTATCGAAGCTGATTTTAAGCATGGCAATCAGCGGGTTGTTGCGACCGGCCAAGATGATCAGGGGGACCATGTTGACGGCGGCGAGGGTGCCGGAGCGGCCTCGCAGTTCCGCGCAGAAAGCGTACTTGTTCTGGTTCTCCCAGTTCAGGACAAACATGTAGATCAAATTGCTGCCGAGATAGCCTCCAAGGAGGATCGCGTGTAACCTGGAGGGGAGCGTTCCGACGTTGATAGCTGAGGAGATTCTGATCTCGCGGTTGTGTCTCTTGTTCCATAACGGGGCGTAGATGATGTTCTTCTTCCACCGCGGCATCCAAGTCCACTGCGAGTACTTCCAGTAGTTCTGCTTCTCCCCATCCTGGCACATGGCCGACACCTGCCGCAGCTTGGTCCATGAGATCTCGATCAGCCTGATGGTCAGTATTATCAGAGCAACGATGCCCAAGCTCCACCATAGCATATCCTTAAATAGCAGGTTGACTGGTTGGTTGACTCCTGAGAGACCTGAGTGATACGGCGACACGGTAGAACTCGGCGTCGCCTCGTGTGTTTCTGTTGATGCCATCGTCGTGGCCCCTCGAGGTACCAGGACGATGGCAGGTGCAAGAGTGTCTACTGCAGCGATCCTGCGCCGCTGAAAGTCCATCTTGACTGATGACTGGTGCTACTATTGGTCGACCGGATATGAAAAAGAAAGAAAAAATGCTGATAAACTCGGAAGAAATTCCAGTTGGTCAAGAGGGTTCGAGGAGCTGCGCTAGATCTATAAGAAGATCGTGGGCGTACCCTGCAGTCCAAGGCCCTCAAACAAAGGCTATTGTTGGGTGAAGTAGCCAGAGAACAATTGCATAATAGGCGGGACAATGGAGAGACGCGATGAACAAGGAATAACAAGCTTATTGATGGACACAAGATCTTTTTGTTGCTGGAGGGCTCCTTCCAATACTGGCGTATGTTGCCGGCCGAATTGGCGAAGTGCTTTGATGCTGGACTGGGATTCGTTGTAAAAGAACGTAGATGAGGTCCGATCAGTCCGGAGATGATCGAACGATCTTGCCTTCAAGCCGCGACCGCAGTCGGCAGATACGGAGGACCAGGAAAGGTTCGGGCTGACGAAAGCTTTCAAAAAGGGTGAGGGTGAGTGATGTTGACGATATGATCCGACCCGGCGGATAAGGCGATAAATATTGCGTTGCTTTGTGTGAAGGGGGATACCTGGAAGATGACCCCGGAGAACGGAAAGAGCGTGTGTTGCCCCAGACTATTCTATTGTGTTCTTATAAACACGCCTCGATGTTTAACTGCAAATGACGGAATAAACAGATCGAGGGCCCGCGACTGGGCGGCTGCGCAGTCTTCAATCAATGTCGTAGTGGAAAAGAAGGGTGCCTAAGCCGATCGAGATCCACTAGTGAGTCCCGACGTGATGACCGAATAGACAGAGAAACAATAAAGACGGAATGTCAACGTGGTGACGTCGCGAGAGACAAGCAAAAGAAGGTGGCCGGTCGTGGAGTTGGCGAGAAAAGGCCAAGCAGGAAGGTGAATGTTCCGGCGATGGTGATGACTGTCGTCGTCTTTGGCGTTTGTGAGTCGACCACGACCTTTACTAGAGTCCAGCCTCCGCCGAGAATTGGCTGATGGGCAGAAACCGTGCAACCACCACCCACTCCACGCACACGCAAACAGGTGGGAGGAAAGAATTAAAAAGGAGCACACACACACACACACGGCGCAGCCTTGAGGGAAACCAAAACCAGAGTGAACAGACGGAACGAGACACAGAAAGGCAAAAGAGGGATGATCGTCAGTAATAAGAGAAGCGACTATCTGCTGCGGTGTCTTCCGAGCGAGCCAAGGGAGAGTGGCGCAACACGAATCGCCCCAATTGCGAGGAATGAACAAGCAAATAAAGAGATAGCTAGATACGGTACTGTATTTGCAGCACCCCCAAGCTTACTATGTATGTACTCGTGCCTACCTGGACCTGGAGGGACCCCCCAGTCTAGCCATTTCTCCCTGGTCTGGCCTGATGAATACGACCTGCAGCTATCTTTCCGCACATTACTCATACTGTAGATGGCCTAGGATTCAGCAGCAAGGAATGCTCGCTGGCGGAGCGCATCCTATCATCCTCGCAGACAGGCGTGGAGTTGAGGGGAACGAGGATCTGGTCCATACGATTTTTTATTCAGGGGGATGCAGCCCAGCCAGCCAAGCTCCGGGTACCTGACTGACGGTGCACAGGTAGAGAGGGCAAAGGGGGCAAAGGGGCGTAGGGAGACAAATGATAGGGTGAGGTTGCTGCGGGGTCCCTCTCGTGCCTCTCTAGAGCTGCCAGGGTTGCCGGCGGGCGTTCTCAGAGTCCCTGCCATGTCTCTGAAACACGCCTTCTGGTTGGCCAGTTGTTCACAGATCCCGCCCGACTAGGCAAGTCGATGGAGACTCAGGGGCAAGCAACTGACGAACAGAACCGACCAGATTCCCAGCCGCCAGGAAACGCGCGAAACATCATCATCTGCTCTCTTTCTCTTCTCTCTACAGGAAGAGTCTGACTCTGACTCTCTCATTCTATCCGGCTGCTGCCGCGGCATTGCCATCGTATCATTCATTGCTACTTTTAACGGACAGATGCACGATACGGCTCGCCTACAAAGAGCACACCAAGTGGTCCAATGTGAACCCGGTGTGGTTATACAATCAAGACAAACAAGCCCTTGTTGACCGCGAGAACCCACACTAAACAGAATGAAGGAGGCGCAAGTGTCGCTCCGGCTCGCTTGTTGGTGACCGACACAACAAAGGACACAAAGTGACAAGCACAATTGTGAATGGAATTGCAAAGAATGTAACTCCGCTGACGCCGGTGGCTCCAACGCCCCAACTCGCTTGCCGAGCGCCCCCCGTCGGATCTGATCTACCGGTACCCTGAAGAACCGTGTCTCTTTAGTCCAGCCATCGCCGAAGCCCATCCGATAACACATCAAGCCCAAGCCATCTTCATTAAGACGTCAATTATGGTGACCATGGGCCATATCGCCGGGTCCGCTCTCCGGCAAGGGTGTTTGGTGCTAGCGGTGCTCCCAAGGCTGCCTAACAACTCATGGCGGCATCACATATATTGTGCCTCATATGGCCAGGATAATGCTAAGAGCCCATGTCGTCCGACCGCCCAGGATTGCGAGAGAGACAATGCAGCAGTCTGATGATTGTAAATGGTCCTCTGCGCCTGCCTCCGAGGCTCTGGAAATGAGAGGATAGATAAGAACCCCATGGCGTCATGGCGTGGGAGCCCACGGTCGTCGCATGCCCCTTGGCATGTGTTTATTTTGAAACGGAGGCTGGCAAAGGGCAGGCGTCCTCGGCCGCTGCCGAGATCTCTGCACCCCCCCTAAATCTAGCCTACCTTTAACGTTAGATCCCGCACACCTTATTCTTACCTAAGGTGGTATTGCTGAATAAGCTGCTGGGTCTACTCCGCTACCAGGGTAATAAACGTTGATTCTTGAACTGTAAAGATACTCGAAGTTGAGAGTCTCATACTCATTAAGATCTTGAAGGTTCTGTTTATTATTGTAGGTCTGTTGAATCGTATAAAGGTAGTAATTTCTTGTTGAGGAGGTAATGATGCTGTTGCTGCTGTACTACCATTTATGAGCCTGGCGGAGGGGTACAACAACACAGGGGCACTCGAACAAAGGTGTCTGACATCGACGACACACTTTTCACTGGCACTCATTTGTCGTAGGTAATCGGTTGTCGAGCTGCATTTACTATGAATGTCTGCTATGGAAACTTTTTTCTGACCGGACGATGTGTTAAGACTCAACAATGGTCTCTGGAAAAGGTTGTCATTGTCGTCTATCGGCCTTACATCCTCCTCGGATTGATAGCTTCCTCGAGACGCAAAAGCAGAAGTCTCTTCCCTCAACCATGCCCGCACCATCTCCTTGCGTATCTCTGCGAAAAGCTGTTGGCCGTCATCACGGCTGCTGTGTCCTGCAGAGCTGACGATAGCGTCAAAAGCGCGTAGAATCATGCGCCTAACAGCCGCAATATGACTCGAACTCTCGTAGCACGTATCATCGAACTCAAGACGCATCACAAGCCCGTCGTCGCTGATTGTCATGAACTCAATCATCAGCTTGAACTTAGACCCTTCACTCCAGACCAGCTGCGGCTCGACTGCGCAGTCCAGATCCAGCCGACTCCACGCTCCGCCGGTTGACGACCCCGTCGGCCATATGTCACGGAAGGAGACAACACAGTCGAACAGGGGGTGTTTGGGCAGCACTTCTTCGCCGCTGATGCCGAGATGCTCGATCAATCGGCCCCACGGCATTGCATTGGCGAGGGCCCGCTGCGATAAAGACTGCACTGCGGCAACGTGATCGCTGCAGCCGAGAGGTAGCCGTGGAGGATACAGGCTGGATTGCCGGCGTCCTGCTGGAAAGCGATGCGGACCGGCAGAGGCTCGAGGAACAGTCGGACCGTGCGCGTGTCTGCTTCCGTTGGTCTGTTCTTGAATGGGATGCCGAAGACCATGTCCATCGAATCGTCTTTTGACCAGTGCTGCCGCGGCTAGGGCTAGCTGCTGGCCTGTAATGCGCTGCTCGTCCACGTAATCGCGCACGCGATGCCATAGAGACCCCGAGACGCGCGCCGTCAATGATGTGCCGCGGCCGTTTCGTTTCCAAGGTATGCAGGTTGTGTTTGTAGAACGCCGTCGAGATACTTTTCCCAGAATGCCAGAGAGCAGGCCGGCGCGATGCTGTTCCATATTGCCGTCTCGTGGTACTTCTGAAAGTCGAGCGGGAGCGTCTCGGAGCGGTAGACCATGCCAACCTCCGTCAGCAATAGGGCGAGTACGGTGTAATCGCAGACAATCTGGCTCCACACGCCACGATGGTGTCCTTGCTAAAGACCACACGGACTGACGGAGAAGACTCGAGCGCAAAAGGCGTGTTCAGCTCAAGCCATACGTCGTTAGACTCTAGCTTTTGTGCTGTCGGGGGATGGGAGGCCAGTACACGCTCCAAGCCACGCTTTCGATGGTGAAACGTAGCGGCTGCGAAAGATCTCGTAACGTTCGAGCACTTGGTTCCATGCCTCGATGAGCGTCTGTTGATTCACCAGCCCTGAATCGTATATACAGACGAAGCTTACATTGAACGAGGCCAGTCTATGATACCAGCTATACCTGTGCTACCAATGCTGTTCTGTGGGTGACGGCCTGTGTCTTTGCAGCTCGTGTTATGGTACCGGAGATATAGGGTCTGAGTTCTGCTGCCGAAGATTATCAATTTCTTGGGCAAGATGACAAAGCGTCGGGAGCTCAATGACCATTCGAAGATTCACAGGAACGCCGAACTCGGTCTTGATCATAGAGACGAGGCGTAATTGTCGTAATGAATGGCCTACTAGGTCTGTGAAGCTTGAGCTTGTTTTTATGATTGTTGATAACACTGGCCCATATATCTGCAAGCTTTTTTTCCGTTGCTGTCTCGAACATGTTTTCCGTACTGAAGTTAATGTTGTCGGCTTCAGCTTTGGATACAGCCTTGCTGTCAATCTTGCCTGTCCCAGTCGTGGGCAATTGGTCGACACACAAGATATATCAAGGCACGGCATACACCGGCAGGGCAGCCGCGAACATCAACAGTACTTGGGCCTTAGTTGGAGTGGGTCTTCCCAACGTCACGAGCATTTATGCCTACCGGCCATCTTTATAGGCTATTGGGAAGACGGTCACCAGCCCAAAAGACTATCAAACAGATGCTGCTCGGCAGAGTATCGGAATTTCCAACAGTGGCTCCTTTACGCCAAACGTGCCTAGAGGGTTCAACGCCGTTGAGTTGAGTATCCTACTGGGGGTAGCCCGTTGTTCCAGCCATTTGATGAGGAGGATAGTGGCATCTCTGGGTATGGGTGGGCTTATCGGGGCCAATGTAGGCCTAAGCGAGCCCGGAGAGGTTTACCTAGTCCTGCAACCCCTGGAGCACCGCCGAGCACGTGCATTCGTCTGTCTTGGGACAAACGAAGCCTCCGCGGCAGAGACGGGATCGGCAGATGTGTCTCAAGTGGTAGCTTGGTTTGGGGAAAATACGATACTGAGAATAGGGTGGTCTTGTGTTCTATGGTCTGTATAGGCATTTTGATCTTGCTGGTACTAACTGGACTGTTTGATGACTGGCTCTGACAGGGTACAAAACACATCACATGGCCCGTCTGATCTACATAAGCCTTCACACTAAAAAGCCATAACATTTTTGAATAATTAACTCGTGATGGAGTAGATGCCGAATACATTGCGATTTGTTAGATTATGAGAGTGAAGACTCTGCTTCATCTATGAAGCTTTCTTGCAAGTGGAATGGCGCTGCCTATGTCATGAATGTGAAGGAGGCATACGCGATGCAAAAGTGTCTATTCTTACTTAGTCTTTTTGAGTGCCAAGACTGTACTGGGGCTAAAATATAAGCTTTCAGAGCTCTTCAATAGTTCTTTAATGAATGTATCTGAACTCCGGGTGCAGGTGGCCGAGTGTAGCGACCTTTTCATGTGGAGCTTCCAGGCGGTAATCGCGGCCAGAACTCGCTCGGTGCTTATTCTCCTTCATTTGGTAAGCTACGAGACCCAGAGCAGCCACAACAACCGAAGCTGCAGAAGCTGTATTGAGGCTGTTTCCAATCCGGTAGCCAGTCTTCGCATCAGTATTAAGATAGCTCCAAGTAGCCACGATCGAACCTAGTAATCATCTTAGTGAACGTAACTCTATGACAAGATGTGTTGGCCGGAAGACTTACCGATGTTGGCAATGGCTGAGACCGCTCCATTTGAGACATTACGTATCGTGTCCGGGGCAGCGTTAGCCAGCGTCCAGCTGACAGTCAGCGTCCCAAAGCTGTATCCTCCAGCAGTGTTGAGGAAGATCGCAGCGTAACGAGCCTGCACATTCTTTGAGGCTAACCAGATGGAATAACCGATAATGTTGAGCATCGCCGCACAGGCGATGGCATAGCCGTGCTTACGCGTCTTCATACTAATGTATGCAACACCCAACGCAAACACCATGCCTACAAGGGGCGGCGGTACCGACAGCAACTGAATCCCCACAGTAGAGCGGTCTGGGTAGTTGAGCCTCAGGATGGTGACGGTGAAGATAGATAAGCCTTGTACGGTTATCTGGTTGCAGGTATACATCCAGGCACCCACCAGGACATTGACATTAAATACGCCGCGCTTAATGAGGCCCCAAGTGATACGCTCCTTGTGCTCGACAATAGCCGGTTGGTCATGAAATATACGGGCCATGGCAAGGGCACGTTCCTCTTCATTGAAAATGCGAGTCTTGGAGGGATCGGCAGGGAAGAGGTAGAGGGATATGATACCAACGCCGGTGGTAATGATTCTAGACTAGGGCATCAGCAAGAGAATTGCAAAGTTTAGGGTTCACCAACCCTTCAACTAGGAAGATGTTCCTCCACGAATCGATGTTTCCGATGCTGTGCAATGACAGCAATCCTGAGGCAAGTAACCCGCCAAAAGCGCTAGACAACCCAGCTGCACCAAGCATAAAGAAAGAAATACGTGTAGTGACTTCGCTTCGGCGATAATAGCGCGACACGACATAGCTGAGGCCTGGGAATTGGAAAGATTCGGAAAGACCGAGAAGTAGTCTAATGGCAAAGAAGCTCGCCTGATTGTGTATGAATGCGGTGCAAAGAGTGACGATGCCGAAGGCAATACAGCTCAGCGGAAGCACGAGAAACCCATATTTTTTGACACACAGAGAGGCTGGGATGTCAACGAAGAAATAGATGCCATAATAGAGGCAAGCGCCAATGTTAAAGCCATACGTCCCTAATCCCAAGTCTTTCTCTATGCCTGCGACCTTTGCATTGCCCAAGTTGGTTCGATCAAGGAATGTAAAGAAGTACATAAGGAAGATCATGGGCAATACGCGCAAGTCCTGCTTGCGGACAAGCTGATTCTCGGACACGGTGTCGATGACATAGCTATGTGCTGCTTCTGCGTCGACGAGGCCCCCTGGCTGCTCTCCTGCAAGAACAGAGGGAACTTTCTGGGACTGACTGATGGAATCCGACATTGTAAGGTTGGGTTGTGGCACGTGCACTTGTTCGGGGGACAGAAAAAAGATGCATCGCAACGGCAAATATAAGAGGGGATATATACTCTTGAGCCGAATCCCAGCTGATCATTTACCATGCTGTCTGGGCATCAGGAGGGAGGGCCAGAGATAAGCCAATTCGCACTAGATTCGATGTGAAATACGACGTGCAAGACCCGTCTTCGCCAAGCAGAGCCTTACGTTAGACGCCAAGCACAGTGTAGTGACTTAGCCTGGATTGCGGAACGGCGGAATTGATAAAGGAATCTAATATATGTGCGGAAGGGCTTATCAGCGCAGCACAGTTTCTATCAAGCTCGTTGTAGGAATGAGCTTAGCGGCTTCTGTCTGGCCGTAGCCTGCAGCTGCACTGGATGCATCGGCTCGACAGCACTGCCGAGCTTGACGCAGACCTTACTCATGGGAGATGCGAGAACTCATTGCCATTGGCCGTCTCTTCAAACTTTCGGCACCAATGCAGGAGGCATTGTGGCCGGAATAAGAAACGCTGTCTTCGGCATCAAGTATGACGAGTGTGATCTTAAATGAATAAATAATGTAGTGCAGCTGTGCATGAACACTGAACTAGCGTATTCTGAAATGAACTGAACCCTTAAGGTTTAGTTAGTTGCAATAGGAATGGAGACCCGGTTATCAGTAGCCTATCTGTAGAAAAGGCTCCTCGCAGCCGGGACATAGTGTCTCGATCGGAAAGGTGGATTCGAAGGCGCGGAACATTCCTATTTAGCTAAGCGATGATGCACCACGTAGCGGAGCCTGCTTCAGGCATGCAATTGCAGAGTTTAGAAAGGATTCCGCCTTGGCTTAGAATTGTCTATTAGGAGACAAGGAGAGCTGACTGCTTCTCTTTCTTCTCATGTGCCAGTCTTGAGCTACAAGATCAGTGATTTATGCCAGAAGCGATTACTAGAAACTTAAGCTCGAGATTGCTTTTAGACACAGGGCACTAAAATCCAAAATATGCGGTTCAGCGTGGGAAGCCCAGGCCAGAAATCAAGTAGCCAATCTTGCAAATCAAGCTCTTCACGGGATCTCTCTCACGATATTACATGGGAAGTGTCCGATTCACGTCTATCCATGGAACGTATCAAACTTGTCAAATGATAACATCCAAAGACTCGCTCCGGAAAGGAGGTAGCTACACGGCCTTCCTTTGATTCAGCCGCATGAACCCCCAAATGCCGCTCTGTGGCGTGCTCAAGAGGTACAGGAACCAATTCGGTGTGCTTTGTTGTGAAAGATCACAGAAGCAGAAAATCGGTCCAATGATACCTTTGAACCTTGCGCTCTAACCCGGAAAATAAATTAGTGCCATCAAGGGCTCCGACAACTCAGCCTCTAAGCTACTCACACAAACACACAAGAAGACGAGAAGGATACTATATGCCATTTCAATGCTCAAGGTCTCACGATAGAGCAACAACGAGACACATTTCGTCATTGCAAAGTCAGCACTTACAATTTCAGGTCAAAGATGCGTTAGATTGAGAATGAGATCTCCAGCTCGCACATGCCAAGGACACGACCAAAAGTTTGTCTGCACAAAGTGCATTCCGAATGACCGCCCAAAAAATGGTCGCCATCTGCAAGTCACTTTTATTCAGCTCCCTCTCAGTGATGTGTATCTCGACTAGATACTGTAATTGAGCCAGGCTGAAGTTTTGGAATGATGTTGTTGACTTGAATGTGAATTGTATCTTGAACTTGTTGGGCAGTATCACATGCAAGTTCGAGAGAAAAGAAGAGTTGATAGGAAAGTGACTTCCATTTTCATCTCAGTGCAGTGTTGTATATGCCCAAATTATCAGATGTTCCAAAAGACATTGTTGATATTATTCGCACCCCATTCTTCTGGCAGCTCTACTGTCCAATCCATGTTGAGCTCTGCCAACCCCGGGAGCGAACCTGGCGGAGATTCAGAGCCTGCCGAAAATGGATAGTCTTGTTGCAGGTCGATGAAGGTGGTTTCCAGGGGAGGATCATTCACTTTCGATGACGCACTCCTTGTCGCTGAGTATATCCCATCACCCCGCCTCGGTTGGTGAACCGCATTGCAACTCGTCTGTTGACTCTTGTCAGATCCCAGAACGTCGATTCGTTGCAAGAGTCCGGCTTCAATCAGTGGCCGCTCCATCCCAGTTAATCGTTTCCATAGCCTCCGCGATGCTCGCGATGACTTTCTATATGCATTCGCGAGCGACAGCGCTCTTGTGAAATTGCGAGTGATGGAATGAGCAAATTCATCGGATAGAACAGTCGAGAGACTAAGACGGTTCTGCTCAACATACGCGATAATGAGAAACATGAGGGCGCAAGACGTAGCTAGGATATGATGAAAGTAAGGATGATGCCTGCGGTAGATGTCCGTAGTCTTGTCTAGCACGTGAATCATATCGATACTTGCTGTGATGAGGTTGAGCCCAGGTTGAATGTTCCTCCGACTAGCCGCTGTGGAAGTGGTTGAGAAGAAGAAAGGGCGGAGTAGCAACTTGCGTACGGCATTGGCTCGGAGGTGAAGAAGGATTGCCCAAGCAGGAGGGAAGCTAGAAGGTGGTTGGTCGACGGCAATTCGCTCGAAGTTATAACTGCCCACCACCTTCTTCCGCCATTGTTCAATCTGAAAATTCATGATGTCGAACTGATCGTCGTCGTCGTAGCTACCTCCTTTTGCAACTCGAGAGCTCGGTTCGCTGAATTTGTCGCTTATGATAATAAACGACATCATCCCTTTGAGGTAAGGGGTTTTGACCTAGACACTGTTGTATTAGAGCTAATCCTGCCGGCTATCTTGAACATATCGGGATTGGGTAGAGCATCTCGATACGTACTAGGGATCCAATTTCTAGGTCAAAGTCAATATTAGAAAAATTGGTTGGGAGTCCTGTCGCAGCACTCCACTGTCGATCCAGGACAATGACACTGGATGCAACAACGGTGTACTCAGCCAACTGCTGACCCGTACCTAGGGTATGCCTTGCGACGTCCTGGTTGTGTAGACCAAGTTCCATCAAGACACGCCCAGCCAATCCACACATGCGCCATGCATATTGTAGTGTGTTTCTGTAAAAGCTAAAGATGCCCTGGTATCATTAGTCACTTCTTCCCTAATGAACATTTCTGTTGGCATGGTACGTCACCTACCACCAACAGCATGATCACCACATTCTTGGTGCTGGGGTTTTGGCCCATGATCTTTGCATTAATTAGGTCCTGGCACCCAGCGTATATCTTATCTCTCATATTGGCGTGGTCGGAATCCGGAGAGGTGAGCTCGATGCACAGTGCAATTGCCATGGAGAGATTGACGACTAGCATGTTATGCTCATCTGCGGATGAAAGATCATGAGGTATTTGTCCATCCGGCCATGTATACCACTGCTTAACTTGCTTGACCAGCATGTCCACGTCTAGAATTGGATGGTACTCGCCGATAACTTCTTGGTATACGAGCAATAATCGAACGGCTTCACGCATAGTGAAGTAATCTCGAAATTGTAGGAGCTTCTGGAAAGTCGGTGACTTCGGACCTCGGTGCTGTGACGATGTATCATTGACCCCCTCAATATCGCTCACCTCTTCATCGTCCGTTTCGATTTCGTCGATACTAGCCAGCTGCTCACTATTCTGAGCTGGCTTCGAAAAGTTTCCCGTGCGCAATTTCATCTGTGCCATATTCAAACTGAAGTCGGGGCTCGTTGGACCGTAAAATTTGCTCCCCGACCCAGATTCAGCCATTGTGTTGCCGATCAAGGCTGTCGGCGACGCATGGTTGGGCCTGGATATTCTTCTTCCTGTATTGTATGACATATCAGGAGAGCCTCCGCTCGCTTCGGATCCAACGACAATGGTGCTACTTGATGCCTCAGAATGCGCATGTGCTGCATTGTTTCCGTGATTGTTCCGTCTCATTTGTGTCTCGAGGCTGTTGATTTGGCCCTGTAGACTGGCCACCAGCTGTTCGAGAGAACCCAACGCTCTAACGCTGTTAGTCTCTGTATATAACCTGAAGGCACCATATAGGAGGGTTGCTGGTGCGGATATGCTCACGTGGGTTCCCAAGATGGCGCAGCTGGTCTCGCATTGGGGCTTGTGCTGTTGTCTATGTTCGTCGAACCGGAACGCCACTCACCCGCTTGAGAAGAAAAATGACAAGCTTGATTGCGGGCCACGCAATACTCGCATGGCTGGCGCCCACAGCACTTTCCTTTGCGCTTTCTACAGGCATCGCAGGCCCGAGCCGCATAGGCCATCCTTCGCTTTCCTGGCTCAGCGTCTCTCCTTGCTCCAGGGCGTTTGACCCCTCGCGCATATACGCCATCCATCTTCCCAGAGTCGACCGAAAGATGCTTCTACAGCTGCTAAGACAAGGAAAGTCTAACGAACTTTTGTTTTGCAGAAAGAGAAGAAGGCGAAGCGGAGAACATCGTTGTGCATATCAGTCAAGATAAGGGAATCTTAGATCGGTGCGGTTGACACTATCTGATTGGTCAATGGCATACACTATATCTGCCCAGGTGGGCGGTGCGATGGGGTAGTCCAAGATAAGGTGCGGCTAGTGCACGTTCTCGGGTTTCTGACAACCATTCTTGGGAGGATTTCTACTACATTGAATGACTCTAGTAATACTATGTAGACTCAGCACATAAAAATCTCTATTGAAAGTCTACTTTTCATTCTCTTCTTGCCACAAGAGTCTTGGAGTAGGCAAGGTTAGGCTCGTGATCTGAGAAGCCGTTACTTGAAACAGAGCTTCTTTAGGCACAGAGGATAATCAAAAGGTATGTTTTTATTAGAACATGACGGCGCCCTAGTCTGTAGTAGAAGTCCGAGAGACATATTTTGTTGACGACAAAAGTTGATCGTTATCTAAGCTACGATCCAAACGGAGTGTTGTCCGCCAAGGAGCCAAGACCTCGGCCAATGTCAGAGCATACGAAAGTTCGCCTTGATCAATATCGTTCAGTTCAAACAGAGAAAGCGTGGCAATCTTTGCCCCTGGAAAAGATAAGGAGACTTCGTCTGACGAGAGTGCATTTCATCAACCGAAATTAGCTTTACTGTACAGATAACGGCCATCAAAATATGGACCATTCTTTCGGAATTTCCTATCCGTTCCGAACGTAGCCGCGCTCGGTCCGTAACGCTTAGTGCATTGGCAAAGCAGTCGCCTCGGTCCGGTGGTAGCTACAACAGAGACTAGAAATACATCCACATCCCCAATAGGAAGGGTTTGGATACGGGGCATCCGGGGAAGCGTAGAAGCGCTCTTCCAGAGCAGACAGAGGTTGGAGAGGTCCGGCCCACTTTTTTATGCAAGATGTAGAACTGTTGCACCTGGTTGTAAATTGCAGCGGTGCACCGACTCAAGGCCATGGTCTCATTACTATCAAGGGGCGAGGTAGATATTCAAAATCATGCTTAACCAGCATGCTATGAATGTGGAGCAAACATTTATCGCAAAGGAAGAATAGAGTTATTTCATAAGACATTACGCATTGGGCTGTGTAGGCCTGCTTAGCATGCACACGTCAGATCTCTATTTCAACGAAGCGAAACCATTCATGCGTAATCTTCCATTGAGATACCGCATTTGGCCATTTGCTTGCTTATTTGTGTTGCCATTCATATAGCAATAGAGAGCAACTCATCGAAACATATTGTTCGTTTGTTTTATGCTCAAAATATCTTCTATTTCCGTGGCTAAATGCAGTGTGCATCGGATCCGGCCAATCTAATATTGCTGGATCACACAAGCAATTGGAACCCTATTACCCTGGCCCAACTAAAGGAGGTATATTCCATAGTTCCCCTCTATCTCCTCCTACAAGTATCCCAATGCCACTACCGGTGATGTTTTCAGCAGCCTCCAGAAGCCATGTCTTCGTCTTAACGAAGTCAGTACACAAATTTGCAACATGCTAATGATCAAGCTCCTTCCTGCCATCGACGAGCACAGGAGATTATGACTCCATCCAAGTAATAGACTTAGTATACAGAAACTCATCCAGTCCTTGGTAGCCGTTAAATCGACCGAAACCACTCTTCTTGACTCCACCGTGTGGCAGAGCAAATTCATCATGAACCGTCATAGAGTTGATATGAACTGCACCGGAATCCAGTGCCTCAGCGACACGGAAAGCAGCTCCCAAGTCTTCTGTAAATATTGACGCAGCCAGGCCATATTCGGTATCATTTGCCAGTTCCAATGCTTCCTCCTCCTTTTCGAAGGTATAGAGAGAGACGCTGGGTCCAAATGATTCACCCCCATAGATGTCCATACTCTTATCAACATTCGTCAAAACTACCGGCCGCATCTTGGTCTCGACGCTCTCCTCGAGATCACCCAGGTTGTTGAAGCAGTCCAGAGCCTTGGCACCCTTAGATAGAGCGTTTTCAATCAAAGCCCGGTTACGTTTGGCGGACTGAGCCGTGACAAGAACTGGTGTGTTTTCCGGAGATCCAAACATTCGATTGATGGCTTGGGTAAGAGCAGTTCGAAATTCATCTGCTATAGATGAATGCACGAGAATGCGTTCAGTCGACATGCAAATCTGGCCGGCCTGTACAAATAGTCAGCCCAAGTCTCTTCCGTTGTAGCCGATACTCCTGATCTTACGTTGATTATAGCACCTGTAGCGCAGCATGCAGCCGCCTTTTCCAAATCCGCGCCCTTCAAGACGATCGCGCTGGCTTTTCCGCCGAGTTCCATGAGAACAGGCTTCAGGTGCTTCCCGGCGGTCGCGGCAATCATGCTTCCTATCTTAGTGCTTCCAGTGAAGTTGATCTTCGTCATGTATGGATGGGCAATTAATTGCTCAGTCACGGCACTTGCGTCTGAAGGGCGGCTGAAGATCAGGTTCAAACATCCATCTGGGAGACCGGCTTCTCTAAAAACATCGACAATTGCCCAATAGCAGTGTGGCGACAGCTCGCTGCCCTTGAGAATGGCCGTGTTGCCTGTTGCCAACGCGAAGGTGACAGAGCGGAGACCAAGGTGATAAGGGGCATTCCTAGTTTGGACATGTCAGAGGCCACAGAACATATCTCTTGCTGGAATACCCCAAACTTACCAGGGAGCAATCCCAAGGTTGACTCCGTACGGCCGCTTCACCACCATTGCGCGCATGCCATCATGGATTGAATCTGGGACAGAACCCGTAACTGCACCGGCGATACGACCGGCCGTATCCTTCAGCCCTTCTATCGCTAAGCCGAGAATAAATTCCTGATAGCCCTCGTTTGCTCCAATTTCATGATGCATGTATTCGCCGAGTTCTTGCTTCCGCTTCTCAATTATAGAAGCAGCACGGAGAAAAATATCCCGACGATAGGTTGCCTTGGTTTTCCCCCATGTGGCGAAAGCCTTCTGCGCAGCTACGATAGCATCGTCGATATGTTGTGAAGACGCTGACGAACAGGTCCAAACTTCTTTGCCAGTAAGGGGACTAATCACGGGGAAGGAAATCGTACTCGGAATTTCTTTTCCGTTGATGATCAGGGGGATACACTTCTGAAAAGACGCTGGCTGAGCCATGCTGTAGCTACGAGATGGCTGAGTGCGTGAGAGAAAGTTTACAAAACACGCCCCCCTAAGTCGTGAACTCTACACGTGCTGGAAACAGTGCACATTATAAGTTAGCTCTTTTGGCGGGACCGAAAACCAAAAACAGGCTCTCTGAGCGCGCACCGAGTTAGCTTCCAGATAAGCTAGGATTGTTGTCTAATTCATTAGGTGGCGCCCCAAACATCGCTTTCCACACTGTCGCCCAGCAAAATACCCCTCCATTTGACTTACCTTGGATGAGCATGAAGCTAGTGTGGCACGGAAAAGCCGTGCTGCTTCGTAGGGCAGCATCGGAAACGGCCGGAGAAGCGCCTGGTGTCCGGAACGGAATGATGCCTGAACCACTAGAGCCCAGATTCTCCTGGCTAAGGAGCTTCCGGGTTGGATAGCCTCAAATTAGAAGTCCTAAAGGCGCCATTGACTTTTCTTATCAATCTTAACCCCAAACGTCTATCTAGGTCAGATCCGCAATCCCTACACTTGCATGACGATGCTGAAGGGCCAGCCGAACTCCAAGCAAGCCACGCTCCATGGAGTTCACGTATTCCACCTTTCCTGATGAACAGGAGATATATGAATGACACTGCTTGAAATGATAAATATGATGGACTGTACAAAGGCACAATTTTGTGTCCTAAAATCATCCATTCATCTCATCTTGATGGTAATAATCTAGTAAGTTGAGCGATCAAAGCTTGACAGCCATCAAGTATTGTTCCCGGAGAACATCACTATATTTTTGATATATCTACACATGGCCGTGGCTATGCCGGCTGCTTTGATCTACTCTAATGGTATGTCCAGTGTGAATACTGGCATATGGCAACTACTTCACCATGATCCTGCGAGGCGAACCTCGAGGATTGCAGACAATCCATTTTTGACATGCTCTATCGCATCTGGTAGCATCTGGTTCAGCTCCTCTACCGTAGCAGCTACTCCAGCCCATGCCTTTCCACCAGCAGCTGCCTTTGCAATGCCAGAGTAGTCAGGGGTAGGGTCAAAGGAGATATTTAGATCCTTGTTGGACACTGCAGATCCGTATCCTGTGGGGTGTACAAGCTCTAGAGAATTGCGAGGGGCATTCCATCCTTCGACGACATATTAGCTTTAGATCTGAGTCTTGGACCTGGACCATCAAGTACTCACCCTTGTTGCTTAGTACCACAGTCAATGTCGGTAATTCGTACCGCCTGGCAATCCAATACACGGTGCCGGGTACACCGAACATGTATGTGCCGTCTCCCACAATCTCAGTTACAAAACTCCCTTTGCCTTGACCACCGGCTAGCCAGTCCGACGCAAGTTTGACGCCGATCGTAGCACCGCCAGACCAACCAAGTCCCCCTCCGCCGGCATTGATCAGGTGTCCTGGCTCATCGACCTGGAGCTGCTGGTAGACAAAAGGGGCATTGGTGACGGTTTCTAGGCACCAGATGGTGTCTTTGGGGCAGGTCTTACGCAGTTGCCCACAGAGATATGATGTGCTTGGCGACGTAGAAGTGTCCTCAGGCTGAGCGGCCAGCTTGGCTAGGTTATCAAGACGTTGTTTATGTTCATCAGCCAATGCCTGCCAACGAGAAGTGTATGGCTCCTGTTTGGCCAACTCTGCATATCTAGAAGACTGGGCGATGTGTGTGTTCAGCTGCCGCAGGGCTGTCTCAGAGTCGGCGCGATACCTAGAGGAAGCGGGGATGTAATGGAGCGGCATGTTTGACTTGAGCGGATCCACGTCGATATGGACAATTTTGACATCCGCTCGTGTTTTGCATTGTGTGGGAATCCATGGTACGTCGCAATCAAGAATCAGAATGACATCTGCCTGCTCGATTTTTGGATGGCGACCAATTCCTACACCCAGTGAGGCTCGGTGACTGAATGGGAAGCAAACATCACTTCCTAGAGTATCTAGCACCTGCACGCCCGGGATGGCCTCGACAAGTTGGACAAGCTGAGGAACGCTGGCGTGGTTCCGCCCAGAGTAGCCTGTGATGATCAACGGTGAGGTAGCCTCAACTAAGAGTTCGACGATGGGTTCGACCGCTTGGGGTGGCAGTCCAGTTGGAGCGACATTCTGCCAGACGGTCGGATCAAGAGAGTAGGAGGGGATCTCTTCTTCCATCACTTCGCGCGCGCCAACCATGTAGACGGGGCCTTTGGGATCACTCGTCGCAAATTGAAGAGCGCGGTTGAGCAGCTGCTTGATGTTCTTACCGGTCTTGAATTCGCCACTGTACCGGCAAAACTGCGAGACGATCTGCTTTTGGTCGGGAGCATCCTGCAGCCAGTGAATATACTCTGTCCGAGAACCGCGCATCTCGCCCTCCAGAGTAAATGGCGAAAGCCCAGCAAAGATGAAGACAGGACATCTCGCTACGGAGGCGTTGTGCAAAGCACAGCCAAGCATCTGAGTCCCCACGTCGACATGGACCAAAACACATTGAGGCTTCCCAGTGAGGCGTGCAAATCCATCTGCCATGCACATGGCCACCATCTGTCGTATGTTTTAGAATCTGAGACTCCACAAGAACTCCGTAAGAAAATGGGGCCTGGCTTGGACTGTTACCTACTTCATGAGGACAGGTTATGATGCGAGGGAAGTTGACTCCTTTCAGAGAAGCGCCATGGGCGAGCGCTTCCATAATCGCCGGGTGATCTGAGCCAAGATTGGCGAAGACATGGCTTATTCCTGCCTAGCATCATGAGCCACCCCAGTTAGACAGACTCGTGACACAGGAAAACGAAAGACTTGGGCGCACTCACCTCGTAAAGGCCTTCAAAAAAGGCAAAAGATGCCGAGTACTTTTCTCTGGCATAGATACTGTTGTTAGTGTTGACGTTCCATTTCGTGGGTTAGGGTTAAGGGGTTTCAGGGGGTGGAGTGTTATCATTCTCCCAGGCTTCCCCCCCTTTCCCCTTTTTTGAGCGACATAGGGATTATGTACTTACGGTCGACTCATAATGCGAGCGAACCAAATTGCAGTGATGAGGGAGCATGCAGGTGACGGCTCTCAATGAGCCGATAGCAGTATATCTAACAATCGGGAAGATATGCTCAGATAACTCTAGCCAAGTGCAAAATCTGGCATCGTGCCCCTAGGCGCCTTTTCGCACAGTTGCCAATCTCTCTCCAGCGTAGTGGTGTTAGTGGCCCCTCGGAGAGTGACTTAGCGTTCGGAACGTTCCTAAGGTGGATCTTGCTGGGTTTGCTTGGCGCGTTCAAGTCGCCTGTGAGTTAGTACAGTACCAACCCGCCAAAAAGGCGTACCATGTTATCGGACGACGAAGCTTCATCTTCAAAGCAATTCAATCAAGATTTGTGAGGAATCCTAGAGATCAGTCAACCTTTCCAATTCAGAGCCGTTTTCTCTCCACAATTTCGTCGTGATTTGCGTGTTTCAATCCATCTCATCACGATGCTATCCTTCATGCGACCTGCACACCCGCCTCGCACCCAGAGCGCAGCAAATAACCCGATCATATACGAAGAAGGTCGAGCGTCGCTGTCTTTCCGCAATCCAGGCTCTGAGTTCTTGATGACACATGTGCTTCCCCCGACATCGCCGGAGCACGGTGTATCTATCATCCAGCCGCCTTTCCACTATCACATCTACCAGAACGAGTTCTTCCACGTACAATCCGGTAGCGGCTATTTTTATCGCGGAACGTCACCCAAGCCCTTCGCCACTTTGACAAGCGAGCCTGGCGGACAGTCAAGGGCATCGGTCAAAGCAGGCGACTACCACCGGTTTGAGAATGCGACCAAAGACACACCGCTGGTGGTGGACATTCACTTAGCACCAGAAGACTATGAGAACGAACAGCGCTTCTTCCGCAACTTCTTTGGCTACCTGAACGATTGTAAGCGAGCGAAGACGGCACCCAGCTTTTTCCAACTCATGGTGTTCCTCGAGAGCGCGGACACACCGCTGGCGGTTCCGCTACCTTGGCAATGGATCGGCAAGGTGGCCAGCCGGATCCTTTTGTTTGTTGCGGCAGGATGGGGGAAGTGGGTGCTAGGCTACAAGACAACCTATCCAGAGTACTATGAGGAGGGTAAGGGGAGGTAGGATATTGCGCGTCCTGCTATTTTGTTATCACCTACTTCAGGAGTCTGATCTTCGCGGGAGTCGTGATCTGCTGGAGCACAGGCATGACAGAATGAAGTCAAGCTATATTGATGGTCCCTGCGAGGAGAATCCATTATGATGAAGTGCAGTATAACATGATTCTGCTACGGAGTTTTGACAGGGACCAGCAACGGTTCTGATGATTTGCCTGGTTTACCGAACTGTCAAGGCATCTTTGATTTTAGATTTGAAGTCTAAGTAGTGATGTCTCGAATAGCTAAATAATTTGGCCTTGGAAGACGGGTCAGCTAAACGTATATACAACGCTCATGTATAATCTATTTCCTAGAGGGCATTACATAGTCGACTAAGGGGTCTGCTATCTTGCTGTTTAAAGTACGATGGCAACTCTGGATTTCCAACACCGAGCTCTCGAGCCCTCTCAGATTGAGTATGGGCAGCCAGTGGGAACGTGGATCGTAGTGAATTGTGTTGTAGAGCAATGTACTGTATTGCAGTAAGCTAAACGACATAGACAAAGGGAGATCGGTGCAGCACAGTGCTAGATCAATCCATTTTCCAAATCTACTCACTTACATGCGGCTCCTGGGCAAGGGCAGCCGGAAGACTAACGGGCCTTGCAACTCCACTCCGTTCCGACATAAGAACGGGGCCATCCGTCCACCACCATTACATCTCCAAAATAGCCTCGACCACAACTTGTACTGCAGATGCATCAAATGACTCCTTGTGCAGATCCGCTAGTACTTTCACTCTTTAACCTTACGTGAGAAGTTACGATATCTCCAATCGTGTTTAGACCAACACGACCGCAAAGACTGGCCAGCAGCTTACCCAGAATCTTGGCTAATCTCGTAAATGCTGAATACGGACAGGCTCAGAGCATCATTTCCTTCCATTTATCGCATATTCTAACTCAAGATGTCCACTGCGACATTTTCGTCCATCCCCTGGGTCGCTGTGCAGGACGATACCTCGACTTCCAACACGGGATGGTACAAACATCGTGTTCCCTATATTTCGGAGGGGACTTACCTCCAAACCCTCGACATTTGGATTCCTGCCACGGACTCAACGAGTAAAGAGCCTCCTTCTCCGGACAACATTCCCTCTGTGCCCGGTACATGGGTGATCTACATTCACGGCGGTGCCTGGCGCGACCCTTTGGTAGATTCATCATCTTTCACTGCCACTGCGCAGAATCTCCTACGCCAGACCTCCACGTCTGATGTTCTCCCAATTGCCGGCATTGCCTCCCTGAACTACAACCTCTCGCCTCACCCGCATCACCCCACCCACCCCGCGCCGCCCGCCGACCCATCACAGTCCCCCGACCCGGCGCGCATGGCCAAGCACCCAGACCACATCACCGACGTACTCGCTGCTTTGGCCTACCTACAAGGCAACCTTGGGGTAGCGCATGACTACCTCCTGTCTGGCCACAGCTGCGGCGCAACGCTGGCATTTGAGGTAGTAATGGACAGGGCGCGGCTCGGTCTGGGTGAGGGCACGCCCGTCGTTGCAAGGCCCCGGGTGATTCTGGGCCTAAACGGGCTCTACGACTTGCCACAGTTCCTGCGCGCCCCGGACGTGTCACACGAGAAGTTGGCCGCGCTCTATGAAACGTTCACGCGAAACGCATTCGGCGATGAGGAGGCAATATGGGAACAAGTATGCCCCGGCCCGGTGAAAGACTGGAAGATGGAGTGGCCTGAGGCACAGAAGGTGGTGCTTGTGCAAAGCAAACAGGACACCTTGGTACCGTACTCACAATTGGAGGGGATGAGGGAGAGCCTGAAGACAAGCACGGCCGAAGTCACGGAGTTGGAGGCTGGCGGGGATCATAATGACCTGTGGAAGTCCGGGGACAGACTCGCAAATATCATAGAGACAGTGTTGAAGGACTGGAAATAATCAAAAGAGCAGCTATAGCTGAGTGCATCAATTAGTTGAGTTTGTGCCTGCCCATCTCTATACCAAGTAAGGGATCAGTTGTCAACGCAAGCTCACTAGTAAATAAGACTTATTGACATCTGTCTATTCTATAATTTTGAGAAAATTGCTATAATATAATTGATCACGCTGTAAACGAATGATCCAGCCGTAGGTGTGTACGAGAAGGCTATCGCCAAAACTTGCATCTCGTTTTGTACCCTGAGCATCATTACATGCACTTAAACGGATGGAGTTATCTCATGGAGTCAACCCTGACCCTGTGAACACCGAAGCGTGGTTATCATTGGTTTAGTGTCAATCTCATGCAGGGTGCTTATCTCAGGTCCTAAATCTTTGTAAGTAGTGGGCTTGGTGTCTTGCCATGCGCTTCCGGAAATGCTTCGGAATGAGCCCCGCTCCGGAATGCAACCACTTCCGCAACATTTTTATCAATCAAACAAATTTGAGGGGGTCTAGACGAGTCTTACCGGTACTTGCAACACTGCTTTTGCTTCTTTGCGTCTGAATCAGTTCCATGTCCCCGTCAAATCAGTAGATGGCTGGACTGGTACCTGTGCCCAGTGGACTTTTATAATGTCCCTTAACCCTGGCTTGCCTGTGTTACTAATGGGGAGGATACTTAGCATGTGAAGTTACACGTACAAAACCGATCATGGCAACCTCAAGTCCTTCTTCGTCGGAGAAGCCTTTCTCCGTTGCCATTGTGGGTGGTGGTCTTGGTGGTGTCGTCCTTGGCATTGGTCTACTCCAACAAAAAGTCCCATTCCACATCTATGAAGCAGCCGCCAGCTTCGGTGAGATCGGTGCCGGTGTAGCCTTTGGACCGAACTCAGTCCGGGCGCTCGGTCTAATAGCCCCCGTCCTGCTCGAGGCGTATCGCCGTCATGCTACAACAAACGAAACGCCTGAGCTGTCCAAAACGTTTATGCAGTTTCGTGAAGGCACAAATATACTCGGCTCCCATGGCGGACACCTATTCAACGTCCAAGGGGGTGAGCTAGCTCTGAGCAGGACCGGTCTACCGGCACGATGCTGCGTCCATAGAGCCAAGTTTCTTGATGAGATTGTCAACCTCCTTCCCCCAACCGCTACCACATTTGGCAAATCACTCGTCACCATCGTTGATGAAAAGAACGGGTACCTCCTGAAATTTGCAGACGGAACGACGGCAAGGGCCAGTGTAGTTGTTGGCTGCGATGGCATCCGGAGTCCAACTCGGCGGCATATTCACGGCCAAGATGCTCAGCCTGTATTTGCAAATGAATACGCCTATCGTGCGTTCGTACCACGAGCCGCATACGAAGAAGCAATGGGACCGGAACTGACAGGCAATGGTCAAATCTATGTTGGCCAAGGTGGTTACTGTGTCACCTATCCTGTTGAGCACGGGACTTTTATCAACATGGTCGCGGCGCGCAATAAGCCTGGAAGCACTTGGAGTCACAACACCTGGCAAATTCCTTCAACAGCTGAAGAAGTATCGGAGGATTTTCGTGGTTGGCACCCTACACTTATTGATCTCCTCATCAAATACGGGACAAAAGACAAATGGGCCTTGTTTGATAACCAACATAAGGAAAAATACTGCAGCGGTCGGATTTGTCTGCTCGGCGACTCAGCTCATGCCACAACTCCACACTTGGGAGCAGGAGCCGGAATGGCGATGGAGGACTCGTATATTCTGAGCAATCTATTGGGAGATTGCAAGTCCATTGACGAAGTGGAACATGCCTTCGAAGCATACGACTACATGCGTCGGCCCAGAAGCCAGGAGCTGGTTAGATTAAGCAGATTAAGCGGACTGACCTATTCCTTCTTGGACGAAAGGGTAGGTAGTGATGTCACGAAGATGTATAAAGTCATGCAAAATAGGTATAACTGGCTCTGGGACGCCGACCTCGAAGAACAGCTCGCAACAGCCCGGGGTTTCAAGGCAAGGCTTTAGACGTTGCCTAGAATCCAAACCTTTACCACTTGGCAATCAGTGTCTCTTGGAATTTATTCTATCCTGTGGGGTTAAAGAATATTACAATTCTTTAATAAGGTTGGGAAAGTAGAGATTGGCAAGAGAGAACCAATCTAGCACGATGTCCCACTACGATACTTTGCTCTTGAGTAATACATGTATGTAACCTTACATGAGGTCCCAAAATCTGCAAGATCTAGAAATCTCCTACATGGCTTATGAGTCGCTTCTAAGTATATAGTTTATCAATCTCAGGTTCGTTTGGGGTCGTGTTGTATCTGAGTGTTGTCATGACTTCAGGCGATTGGCTAGATCGCTATGCCAACCTAACCAAATGTGACCATCAAGACTTGACTTCAGCTGCTCGCATCAAGTGTAGGATGTAGTAGATCTGTTGGGCCAACTTTCTCATAGGGGTAATGCTGCCTCCAATGTGCTGCGATCTCCCGCCTTGTGCAAACCCATGCATCAGGCTTAGTCGCAACATATGCCATGAACCTCTTGAGCGCCATAATCCGGCCAGGTTTGCATACAAAACGGTTGTGCATGGCGATAGTCCTGGAGTGTTAATGAATTAGGTACGATACAGAAAGCATATAAGTGTAGCAGTACGCACATCATCTTGGGGGCACCAGCCTGGCCTTCTTCGTACAGCTGGTCAAACTCAGCCCTGAGAAGCTCGAACCAGTCGTCGGGCTTGGAAACACCGGCCCCCTGAGCCACAAAGACTAGACGATGACAGAAATTTAGCATCTGATGGTAGAACACACCAATATGGCTGAATAAAACAACTCGGAATACGTACAACGATGGTCGTTAGTGCACAATGAGTAAGGTATCATCAACATGCCATTATCCTCGCCACCGTACACCGCCGCATAGGGATCTCGGACCCAGTACGGCACATCAGCGGCGTACGTGTCGGAGCAGTATAGCAGGGGCACACCGCGTTCACGATGCACCTCGGCGCGGGCCAGCTTTGTATGGTTGGGCAAGCCCCCGCCGAACCAACCTGTGGGCACATCGCTGAGCCCGGTCGTGGCCTGCAAGCGGTCAAAGGACTTATGAAAATGGGCTTTGGCTTCTGCCAAATTTGTGCCATGAATGCGCCATCTGTTGCCGTGGCATGCAATCTAAGTAAGATTAGAATTCAGTTCGCAAAAGATGTAACTATCTTCCACGAGATCAATTACCTCGTGGCCCTCTTCCGCTAACAATTTGGCATATGTTGGGGTCACCTCAAAAGCCCGGGCACACGTCCATGTTGTCCATTTCCAGCCATATTGTCTGAATAGCTTGATCAGGCGTGGCAATCCCTGTCTAGTGCCCCATTCAAACTACACTCGTGGTCAGCCCGAAATAGCTATTTGCGAAGCTAATTAGGTATTGAAAAGATTAGTAGTAATAATACTTACCATATCCTCGACTACTCCGTCTCTCTTGCCGCCATGTATTGCCGGACGGTTGTAATGCAGCTCATGTAACGAGTCGCAGCTTTGGTCATCACCGTTCCATGGTGTATGTTCCGCGCCTTCCTCGTAGTTGAGTACGAATGAAACCGCAATGACCTTGTTCCCCGGCCAGAGGACTTTGGGTGACTCGAAGCCGTAGCCGACGTAGTCACGAGGAGGAAGCCACCAGTCTTGAACCATCGTGCCGCTTACCTCTTTTACTTATGTAGTAGGCTTGTTTACGGGCTTATTAAAAAATAAATAAAACGGTGATGCGAGGCAAGTAGTGATTCAATCTGGACGTAGGTTGTGAGTGGTTAGGTGTCTATGGTGGGTGCTTCAATACGATCTGATATTGGCGTCAAAGACTGCCGGCTCAAGGCGCGTTGCCGAAAGCTCTGCCTCCTTGTCTTACGTTACTACTAATCAGAGCATAATACCAGATTTAAAACCGATCAAGGTCGGCAGGCACCCGACCATATACCGCCGATCTTATCCTGCAGCTTAGTGGCGATAGGAAGTGATTATTATCAACATGCCCCACAATTCCTGTCGGATGATGTCCCGCTGCTATCATAACTTTCGATTGTGCATTCCTATGGGTCCGCGATGGATGTGGTTCGGCTGAGTACCGCTTGCTTCCCTTATCTTCAATGGCACTAACAACAAAGTAGTAAGCGTCTAAGAGATTATAGAAAACACCATCAACAGTTCCAAAGTTTCACATCGTGTCTTTTGATATACCCAGTCACTTCTGGGCAGAACGGTCATCATGTCAGCCGACAAGTATACGGAAGAATGGCTCGAACGCGAGTTCGTTGGGTACGGCATGGAACAGCCCAATCCAGAGTGGCCCGGCGGAGCTAAAGTATGTGTGAGCTTTGTGGTCCAATACTACATGGGAGCAGTAAGTGTCCACCTATTGAGTAGCGGAAAGCTCGATGATAGCCAGAAGTTGACGGACCGAATGAAGGAACTGTCCGTTCTCAACGGCGATGAGAAGACATGCGCCGACTTGCTCGAAATTCCAAAGGCAATGCCGTCACAGGGGCGGAACGAAGGTGCTGAGCAGGTCAGTCAAAGTTTTCCTCGCCATCTGAATCTGCAGCTGACAGGACGTGCTTCAACAAGATGTACGAGTATGGTGCCAGAGAGGGTGTGCCTAGGCTACTGAACCTGTTTAAGAAGTAGGTTCTTTCTGCATTACTAAAATACATTCTACACGCCATGATGTCTAACTTGAATCTTAGATATAACTTGCCCGTGACGTGGAATTTCTGTAAATTTTCCTGCCTGAGATTCAAATGCGCTCTAGTCAATGTTCTAATTTTGAATTATATTAGACACCCGTGCTATAGAAAGAAACCCCTTTTGGGTGAAGCCCATCCTCGAAAGCGGCGCCGAACTCAGCCTAGGCGGGTACCGCTGGCGTGACAATCTTCATGATAATGTCAAACCGGAGGTAGAAGACGAGGAAATCCAAAAGAGCTTCGACATTTTGCAGAAAGCGGCCGAAGACAAGCATCTTCCTCAAGGTAGATCTAATTCACCGACAATAAGTTATGGAGGACAGTACTGATCCGAGGGATTGATCTTTAGGCTGGTTCGTCGAGCGGCGGTCCAACTTGTCCATCAAGCTCTATTCACTAGCGCATCAATCGCGTGAGCTGCCTCTGATGTATTCGTCCGACTCGTGTCAAGATGATTTGCCGTATTGGATTCCATCACCAGCACATGGAGCTAGTAAGGGGCTTCTAATGGTACCCTTTTCATATGACACGAGTGACATGCGCTTCAATATGCGTGGATCCGGCTGGGCGAGTCCAGCCGATTGGGCAACCTATCTCGTGAGTCACAGTAGCTTCTTCACATTGGGTTGTGGCGCGTAGTAACCACATTTTACAGAAAGATACATTTGACTGCTTTTACGAAGAGGGCGAAGCGGGCGAGCCGAAGATGATGACCATCGTACTTCACCCACACATTTGCGGCAGGCCCAACCGAGCAATACATTTGGAGAAGTAAGTCTCTGTCTCAATGGCATTGATTTACACAAAGGTGACTCATTTCTGACAGTTTCATCAAATATGCCCAAGCCAAGGGCACCTGGTTCGCGCGTAGAATAGATATTGCCAACCATTGGCAGACCAAGTTCCCGTTCGATGCCAAGACGGCGTTTGGGCAGACGTCAGTGCCCGAATGTGGCAAAATACCAGCATAGAACGAGAATAGTCTATTTTAAAGAGAGTGATGGAGACAGTATTGCAGGTTTCCCAACTAAACATCTTGGGGTGAAAGGCATTCGGCAGGACTTAGTCGCACGGTTAGCTCAGCAGACTCAGACTTCACAGGTCCTTGTCATAGTAGTAGTCGTAAAACTGTTCACTATGTAATATTCCAGTTCCCTTTCGAACTCCAGAAGCCTGGCTCTACAGATCCAATCATTTGCTAAGTCTGGTTGGGGAGCTTTACAGAGCGTAACTATAAGCACGCGATAGCTCTGTAACTAGCCCAGCAAAAATCAGTCATGCAGTCGTGATCTGGGTATGAAAGTATCATGAGCCCCTGTAGTGGTTCGACGAGGGTTGAATCAATTGTAATCTATTAAGGGAAAGCCGCGTTAGTTAAAAACATATTCTAGCTGTATTCTCCAAATCGCAGCAGCCCGCAGATAACGCAACAAATTTCTCTTTCTAGAAACAACCTAATCGCATTCAAATTATCCACCCCGTCTTCCTCCTGGCTTTCTCCGCCTTCCAAACACTTGACTTATTTGATGTTATAATCCACAACGACAACCTTTTTCTCTTCACCATCAACGCTGTTTGACTGTGGAGTCCCTTCCTCCGCGATTCCCAATGATGCAACAGCTCTTTCTTCCTCATCATTCTCGTCAGCCCATTGTTCCCACCTCAAATTCCTTTCCACAACAGCCCCCCCCTTTTCTGGAAAGATAAGATAGGAGCCATAGTATAAAACACAAGCGACGGCATAAGTGACTATGAATGAGACATAGAAGAAGTTGACGCCGGTGCTCGACATGCCTAAATGATTAGTGTCGAGCTGTGCGGCGAACGACGGAAGGCAAGGCAGAAGAGCCACAATGACAGTGATTACTCCACGATAATTGACGCCGCGGGCGTACCAGTATCGCGAGGCTGCACTGCCCTCAAACAGGTCTGGCAATTTCAAATTGCCCTTCTTTATGAAATAGTAGTCGACAAACATACAGGCTGCAATGGGGGCGAGCCAGTAGCCGTATCCGCTCACTACAATCAATGGTAAGTCACCTGGCAGCTACCACGCAACAGAAGCACAAGATCATTCGGGGCATCTTACAGAAGGTCAAAAATTTCTGTGCATCGTTGAGAATCTTCCAAGGCAAGATGCAAATGCCAAGTACAGTACACAGAACCTGACCGCGGCGGATTGTCATCCAGCGTGGAAACAAGGCACTCAAATCGGAACCAAATGGCAACGAGTTAGTGGCGAGATTGACTACAGCAGACGATCATTATCAGCTTCTCATGCAAACGCATCTCATAGTCATTCAGGGGTAGCACTTACCGGCAAGATAGGACATTGCCATAGCTACAGCAATCAGAAAAATTGCGAATCTGGCGCCGTGATTGTCCGGGTATTGCTGAAGCATGTACTTCATCACATCCCACATGTTCCAGTATGCTGTTCCTGTCAGCTTCTTGGCACAGGCAGCGACCAAGATACCATAAAGACATGGCAGGGCCGAGGCAAGAGGATACCCAAGTAGAGTTGTCTGAAGTGGTACGTAGGATATGTCAGTTCATAGATCGGTTTCTGCGTGAGAAGCAGTAGTATCTTACCCAAATGGCATCGCCAGGCTTCTTAGCATATCTTGTCATGTCGCCTTGGTTGACCGTCAGAGAAGAGGCTGCACCGAGACCTGAGTTGAAGGCCCGCATCACCAACCAGGCATGTGCCGATCCTGTTAGGGGTTTTGAACCAGCTAGGGTAGTCATCGACACCCCTTTGGCTTTTACGAGGAACCATATAAGAACAGCATGCATGGCAGTGAATACGAAAATGGACTTTCCAACATAAAACCAGTGAAGGTCACGCGAATGGACGAAAGAGAGGGCTGTGAAAACGAACATGAAGACGAAAACTATGGTTTTAGCAGATTAGTGACCAGGTTCAAAGTGTAACGCATGCTCAGACAACACACATGAGATAAGATCCTGGGATGTAATGCTTGCCGATGCAGGCAGGGAGTTTTCCATAGTGCCATACTGCGGCCAAATTGCCGTGATAGCGACAGTGACGCACCGTCCACCACTATGTAGATCGTCAAATCGGACGAGTTCAGCTGTCACGATGAGTAATTTACGTACTAGTAGGAATTCGTGCCGTTCCAGATGATGCAGACGACTGCTCGCATAGCAATCACCATGTAAGAGCCCCACATGCCAAAGACAGATCGTGAAAACACCGGGAACTGTTGATGAGTACCGTCTTGTCAGTGACTCCCGTACGTCTCCCACGTTGCAAAAGGCGCAGAATTTCCGACTTACTCCAATGTGATACCTCGCCGGGCCGCGTCCGTTAATCACAATAAGCATTGTGATCAAAATATGTGCCGTAGCAATACACAGCCATGCACTCAGGGGCTCGAGACCGACCGAGATAAGACTTGAACCCGCCACCCAGCTACCAGCACCTGCAGCATGAGCGGTCCAGAAAGCCAAGAATGTCCATTGTGTCCATTTGCGATCTTGTGGAGGAGAGGGAGCGAGATCACGGTTTGTCCACTAGATGATAGATCGATGGTCAGCTATGTGTAGCCTATAGAATCTTCAGTCTCGCCCAATTGACAAGCCCTACCCTACGATTCTCGAGATTTGCTTCGTCGCCGTCGAGTAAAGGGGCTTCGAGGTACTGGACCATAGCTCGACGCGACCTGAAAGCATCCTTGAAAGCTGCGATCTTACGCCCCATTTTATTGCCCATATTGCTCACTGTGGTGATCTTAGGACAGGAGAGAAACAACACCCACTTTAGGAGGGGCGGTCTGGGTGGTTTATGAGATGCTCTAGGCAGATCCATAAACCCGCCCGTCTAGACACTGGTGTATATATGCATTTTTAGACAGTCCTTATCACAGCTAACCCTTGTTGCCACTGATATGCATGGGATGAGACTTCGCCTTATCGATCAGTACACTGAAGGCGCGCTAAGGGGTGAAACTTTAGAGTGACAACTGATTGTGAATATAGGGCAGTGATCCACAGCGGACGCACAAACATTACTCTACAGTAAGGCTCAGTCGATTTTGTTTTGCTTTGCCACGACATGGAAATCGCCTGACAGATCGCAAGAGTATTCGCACACAAGATAAGATTCTTATCTCGAAGGTCGGCTGTCGGCCGATCAGCCGATGCCGGATGTTAGACGGGATTGTCACCGCTCAACGGCTAGCGTGTACCCGATTTGACACTTGAAAAAGAGAGTGCTTGACCTATCAAGATCTAAGTGATGAGGGTTGTCGATTTCATTGGACTAGGTGCTTCTCAACCGGTTTAGAGACCTATAACATGTTTATCGAACAATGTTGAACGGTGTGATTGACCTCTCAAAATGCAACATGTGGTCTAACCCGTCCCCAGGTGCGACTTCAGAGGGATGCATAAGTTCAGTCGATGTTGTGGAAAGAAAATCGGAACAAACTCGCAATGGATCAATGCTCAAGAGCTCGAAGAGGTCCGAAGCTGAGGTGCAACTTCAGGACCAGTCAAGTCGTATGCCCTTGAAGAAGATACTGGTTGTTTATCTTGGAATAGGTGAGACAACTTGTTCGGAGTTTGTATTGGGCTAATGAATGTAACTGTTATGTAGGTCTTGCACTTATGGTCGCTTTTATGGATCAAACAGCTGTGTCAACGTCAACTCCGGTGATTGCTAATGACTTGAATGCATCTGAAAGTGTTTCATGGGTTGGAACTGCTTTTTTTGTCGGCAAGTGAGTACAGCGCAACTACGAAGACCTTTTATACCCCTGGGAAAGGCAGCAAGATGCGGACCCGGCTAACGAAAGCGACAATAGTTGCGCTTTTCAACTCGTCTATGGCCGCCTGTCAGACATTTTTGGTCGGAAAAACATGCTTCAAGCCGCACTTTGCCTGTTAATACTTGGCGACATGCTTTGCTCCTTTGCACAGACTCCTATTCAACTATATGCCTTTCGTGCAATTGGTGGTATTGGTGGGGGAGGTGTGACAAATATTGCGATGGTTATTGTAAGCAGACATTGACTTAAGCCAGCAGAATAAGGGACTGTTCGCGAGGCACTAATATAATATCAGGTATCCGACATAGTGCCTTTGAAGGAACGAGGCAAGTATCAAGGCTTCGTCTCAGCTGCCTGTTCTCTTGGGAACGCAATTGGCCCCTTTGTCGGAGGAGGATTCGCTTCTGTGAGACAGTGGCGGTGGCTCTTCCGAGTTCTCGCCATCTTAGGGGCCATTGTGGCTGCAGTAATTCATTTCATTATTCCGTTAAAACCAGTTCAGGGGTCAGTAGTTGCCAAACTGAAGATGATTGACTGCACTGGCATTTTGCTTTCGTCGTCCGCAACGATTTTTCTCCTGATTCCAATCTCCAGCGGAGGCTCAACATTTGCTTGGTCGGGTTCTACGACAATAGGACTGTTGGTGTCAGGTGCAATCTGCGTGACGGGCTTTGTGGCGACAGAGGCCAAGGTTGCTAAGCTGCCCATTCTGCCATGTGAGCCACTTGCTGTATGCTCCTTATTCTTGTCTCTGACCTAGTGGCAAATAGTGCGTCTCTTCAAAACCTTGACGCCGAGAGTGATCATGATACAGTCTTTCTTTATTGGCATGATATATTACGGGGTAATTAAGCGTGAGCTTTGGAAATGGAGCGGAAAGCTTTGAACTAACACAAGGTCATGACAGAACATATATTACATACCGATCTATATGCAGTATGTCCAAGGATTTTCAGCCCTGGTCTCAGGTGCTCTCATGCTTGCCTACACGCTACCCCAGTCGGTCTGGGGAGTTGGTGCTGGGTTCTTCGTATCCAAAACAAATCGCTACAAGCTAGTCATCGTAAGTATGTCATTAATTATGTCGAGACACGAGCATTCGGAAGCTTATCAAATATATGTTAGGTCTCTGGAGCTACTCTGTGGACGCTGGGACTGGCCTTGCAGATTTTGTGGTC